AAAGTTTATTACAAAAACTCTTTAAAAATTAACATCTCTCACAAAAATTGTGAACCAGGGTCCTTTTTTTTTTAATTGAGATGAATAGTTGGAAGGCTAAGGCTGACTCAGTTGCATCAGCTCTCAGAGAATAATGGCCGTCCTGTTGGGAAGAAGTTCCCCACACCCTGTGCCCTGCGGTCACTCCATCAGAGGCAGTGGCCTTGCCTGCAGTTTGTTACTGAGCCCATCGGGGGTGATGCTGCCAGGGCGCTGAGGTGTCCGCTCAGCTGGATTCTGTCGGAGGAAACCATCTCTGTCGCCTGTCATGGCGTGGAGAGGCCGGAGGAAGGACATCGATGAGTGAGTGACAGCAGCTGAAAGTCTGAGCTGCTGAGAGGCAGCGCCTGGGGGAGAACGGGGCCACCCCCTGCTGTCTCAGCAGTCTGGTGGACAGGACGGCGTGCACTGCATCATGGGAGCACTGAAGTCTACATGTCACAGTTTCCATGTCATAGCCATTTGTTTAGGTCATCTCTACTCTTGTTTTCATGTTTTCCAATTTCAGATCAAAGACAAGTGTAGATCTTTATCCGCGTCTTTTATCTGTGGCAGCTTGTATGCAGGTGTTTCTTAAATGTCACACGACTTTCCCTGGAAAGGAAGCGAAATGACAGGTTCTCTAATAGATCGCATCACATTTTAGAGATTATAATAATTTTTTTCTTTTGGCGGGGATATACCAAACCTTTTACCAATAAGGTGTTTTTTTGTTTGTCTGTTTGTTTTATGAATTTAATCCACAATAAGCTTATATTTCATTTGATAGAAACTTCATGCTGATCTGGCAGGACTGAAAGGGGTGTGGTCCGCGCGGGAGCTGGGGTCTTAGCAGATGTGCTAGGCTGGGCGTGCTGTGCTCACAGGGCCGTCCGTCCTCTGTGCCCACACAGAGCCGCCAGTCCCCTTCCTGCAGAGCCCATTGCGGAGGGAGACTCAGGGCACCACTCAGTGGGGTGCGCCCTCAGCCCAGCTCTTCCAGGTTTCCATATTGTTGTTGTTCATTTTCACCCGAGGATGTTTCTCCATTGAACTTTTAGAGAGAGTGGAAGGGAGAGGAAAGACAGTGAGAACATCCTTGTGAGAGAAACACACGCCCTGGGCCAGGGCCGAGCCAGGGAGGAGCCTGCAGCCAAAGGACATGCCCTTGACCTGAAACGAATGCAGGACCTTTCGGTCCACAGGCTGACGCTCTCTCCACTGAGCCACCCGGCCAGGGCCCAGGCATTCCCTCTCGGTCACCTCCGTTTCACAGGTTCTCCCATGGCTGCCCCTGTGGGGAAGGAGGGTCTCAGCTCCTCAGTGCTCTGCTGGGAAGAGGTGTGTGCACTCCAGACCCCCGCTCTTCATGACCAAAGCGAACCACACCACGGGGTCTTGCCTAAGATCTAAGGAGGCAAGATGGGGCCTTCCTGAACGTCTGGGAAGGAGAGGACATGAAAGCTGTTGGTGACGCTCAGTCCTGCCTCCCGGAACCTTCCTCTTCCAGCAGTGTGGCCACTTAGGTGAGCGCCCCGACCAGGAGGCCAGGGAGGGGCCAGGTGGGCCACAGTAAGCAAGGTCTAAACCGTGAAGGCGTCTTTAGGATGAGGCCGTTTACTAATGAACTGACTACACATAAGATACGCTGTATAGACCTAACTGGTGTGGCTCAGTGGATAGAGTATTGGCCTGCAGACTGAAGGGTCCCAGGTTCAATTCCGGTCAAGGGCATGTACCTTGGCTGTGAGTACATCCCCAGTAGGAGGTGTGCAGGAGGCAGCTGATGGATGTTTCTCTATCATCGGTGTTTCTAACTCTCTATCCCTCTCCCTTCCTCTCTGTAAAAAAAATCAATAAAGTATCTATAAAATAAAAAATAACAATATATTATAAAAAGGCAAAGGCATGTGTAGGAATAAAAATATTTTGCAGTGTTTCTTACCATTGTTCCTAAATGCGACGTGATGTTTTACTTGAGCAGAAATTATAAACCATATGTTAGTTAATATTTGCACCTTTTTATTCATATGGTTTATGTAAACTGCTAATGCATTTAATATGTCAGATCTGTGGTTTTCTGTGAATATTTTATAAGCATATTATGGTTTTATGGTTAACATTAATTTGAAGTATCGCTTTAACAGTAAAAGGAACTTCCCTGATGTCTAATTTTGTATTAATCATGTTAACACAACAACTACATATTCTGAAAACTATGCAGTAGCTGTAATAATAAATTGCCCGCTTAACATTATGATGTTTTTAGCCAAAAAAACCCACCCACATTTAGTTCTATATAGTTTTAATAATAATTAAATAATAATCTGGTGGATCAAGACTTTTTTTAGTTGTACAAGGAAATTGATTTCCTGTTCTCTTACGTTATGAAGTTTAGAGTTTCTGCTTTGAGTGGACATCTTGCATATGCATTAGTGGGGCGCATCTAGTAAGTTAGATGTAATAAGACACATTATTAACTGAAGTCCACCAGGATGCACTCTTGGTTGTCCAGATCCGTGAGTTCTAACAAATGCATAATGTCATGCACCCACCGACCATCATACAAAATAGTTTCACTGCTAAGGGTGTATTTATTATTATTATTATTTTTTTACATATTGTCACATTTTCTTCAGAAAACACATTTTAAAAAATGATGAGCCCGGCTGGCATGGCTCAGTGGTTGAGCGTCGACCTACGAAGCAGGAGATCATGGTTCAATTCCCGGTTAGGGCACAGGCCCCGGTTGAGGGCTTGATCCCCAGTGTGGGGCGAGCAGGAGGCAGCTGTGACCCATGAGTCTCTCTCCTCAAGGCTGTTGCAGGGGTTACCCATTGTGTGAATCTGTCAGGGCTGCCCTAAAATAGTACGGACTGGTGGCTTAACCCAGAAACCTCCTCCGCACAGCCCTGGAGACTGGGCGTCCAGGTCAAGGGCCAGCAGGTTCGGTTCCTCGGAGACCTTTCTCCTTGGCCTGCAGGGTCTTTCCTCCATGAACAGGACTCTCTGTGTCCACATTTCCTCCTCTGATCAGGACACCATGAGGCCCCATTCATCGGAGCTCATTAAGGTCACCGCTTTAAAGCACACGTCTCCAGTCCAGGCATCTTCTCAGGTCCTAGGAATTAATACGTCAGGTGTGGATCTGGGGAACTCGATTCCGTCTACATCACCCATTGAAATTAGTGTTTTAACTTGTGCCTGGCAAACGGTCACCTGGTGCGGACCGGTGAGGATGAACGCGGAGGGGGAGGGCGCAGGAGAGGACGTCCTGTTACTGCTCCGGAGGATGTGCTCTCCACGCCGTGAACGCCGCTGGCAATAGGGAAGGTGCTTTTACACAAAGAGATGACACAGGGTTTTCACTTGGATGGCTCAGCAGGGTCCTCCCCAACAATACTTCTCTTCATCTTTGTCGTCTGACATAAAAGATAAGCTGTGGACGGCATTGTTCTAGAAAAAGGATTCCCATTTTTCACTTCTAAATCACAGGTCAGGTGAGCTGGGCGATGAAATATCTTCTGGGGCGCTCCATTCTGAAGACAAACACTGTTGGTTTAACATAATTTAGTGTCAGGTATAATAACTCGGGGTGAGATACAACTTTCTATTTTGAATTGCTTGAAAGATGATGTATGTGGGATTATGTGGAAAACAATACATCCAGTGAAGTATTTTATTTCTGTTAGCAAGGACTTTATGGTTATGGAGGGAAATAAACAGGCTTGTTATGTGTGCTTTTGAGCACATCTCATTGAATTTATATTAATAAAAACAAAAGAACTGTCATCAAGTCGTATGTGGGATGGGAATATTAATAAATTTTCTGCCATCTTTGAAAGAGGCGAAAGGTGTATACGATTCTGTTTTGTAATGTGGGCCTGTTAATGCCCTCCAACATGCGCCCTGTGGAATTTGGTTAGGAGGTAATCTCTCATGTTTACAGAGCTGAAAAAAATTGCTTTTTCTTTGATCCCTCCTGCTATTCCCATGTAATTTTTCTTCAGAGAGAATGATTAAGGGTTCAAAGCACATGACCTATCTTAAGGAATACTTTTATTATTTCATAATTGAATTCTGACTGAGACATGTCTAGTTCTGCATTTGTAAGCACACAGTTTAATTTCTGTCATCTGATGCGATGGAAGTGATAGAGGTTGTTTTTAAGAAAACACTTTTTTAACTTTAAATCATTGCATGTAAGATAGAGATGATGAAAATACTGAAAGCATTTTTTATTGTTCCACTCTGAAGGCATAAGTATTTCTAGTTAAAGTTTATTTTGAAATACACTTGTATTTTCATTTGTTTGAAAACCTGTAAAACTCGCACTTCTTTAAGGAACTATGACAAGTGCCCTGAAGACTAGAAATTGCAAATTATTCGCCTTTTAATTACCACAGGTTTTGTAATTCTAGAGTATGGTGGGTAGTAACTTTTAATAAATGCCATTGCTTCCTTCCTGTTAGCATTCATTCAGAATTGAGGGATTAATCCCTGAGTTCCAGGCAATAGGCAGGGAATACAAGAGAGCTGAGAAAGTGTGCTCAGAGGCACCTCTCCCCGTGAGCGTCAGTCTAGGACGCTGTGCTGGTGGAGTTCAGATGGCTCCCTGGACGTGGGGAGCAAGGGGTTGGTTCTGTCCTCAGGGCCTTTGCGGCTGGGTTCTGAAGGATGTGTAGGAGTTTGCTGGGAAGTGGTAGGCCATGTTCATGAGAGGCTGGGGAAAGCAGGTGGGTCTGAGGGCCAGGGGCCCCGGGAGGGGAAGGGGAGGCAGAGGCTGTGGCACAAGGAGACGCTGAGGAAGGACCCGGAGCCACAGGCTGATGTTCTGAACGCTGAAGATTCCCTGCAGGGTGTGAAGCGCACCTGTGCCTTCCGTGTTACCTGTCTGGGAGCCTTCAGCCAAGCAGGAAGCGGGTTTTGGCATGCGCTGTTTCTGCTCTGGGGGTGATGGACCCGTGTGTTCTGTCTTGCAGTGCGTTTCAGCAGCTGCAATGGGAAGAGGAAGGTGCGGTACGAGAGCAGCGAGCCCGCCGACTTCAAGGTGGACGAGGACGGCATGGTGTATGCGGTCCGCAGCTTCCCCCTGTCCCCCGAGCGCGCCCGCTTCCTGGTCTTCGCCCACGACCGCGACACGCAGGAGAAGTGGCAGGTGGCCGTGAGCCTGAGCCCTCGGCCCCCCTCGCCCGAGGCCGCCCTGCAGGTACCACCTGGCCCCGGCCCCGGCCCTGGCCCCAGCCCCACCCCCCAGCCCCCAGCCCCCATCCAGAGCCCCACTGCGGACCACGTGCCCCTGGCTTCCCCTCCTGTGATCGGAGGCCGGTGTTTGAATTCTCGCCAGCTTCAGCCCCTTCACTTGTGTTATGTTTGCTTTCAATCTTTTTTTAATATATATTTTATTGATACTTTACAGAGAGAAAGGGAGAGCGATAGAGAGCTAGGAACATTGATGAGAGAGAAACATCTACCAGCTGCCTCCTGCACAGCCCCCACCGGGGACGTGCCCGCAACCAAGGCACATGCCCTTGACCGGAATCGAACCTGGGACCCTTCAGTCCGCAGGCCAAGGATCTATCCACTGAGCCAAACCGGTTTTGGCCGTATCACTTTTCTCTGAGGCCAGTGCCCAGCTTTCATTGTGAAACGATGAAATGCTTACCTGGTAAAGGGGAGCCAGGCCACTGGGGCAGTGGTCGGCAAACTCATGAGCCAACAGAGCCAAATATCAACAGGACAAAGACTGACATTTCTTAATTTCAATTTTTAAAACTTGAACTTTTCCTAACGCCACTTCTTCAAAACAGACTCGCCCAGGCCGTGGTGTTTTGTGGAAGAGCTGCCCTCAAGGGGCCAGAGAGCCGCATGTGGCTCGCCAGCCGCAGTTTGCCGACCAGGACACTAGGGTGATAGAAAGTGAGGAGTAACGGGTAGCTCGTCGAGGGAAACGTTGCTTTTATTGTTATGATGCTCAGATGTTTCCACCGGAGCAGCCATGGCTGGGCCGCCCGGGCCCCCGGTACTCGGGGCCGGGAGAGCCCTAGGTCCCACAGAGATGGATGCCCTGTGTGCGGAGCGGGCCCGCTCCGGCATCCATCGTGGCTGACACGGGTGCAGAATAATTACAGCATTAATTCTGTGCGATTTAATAGGGTCATAAATATCTGCGACATCCCTTAGCAGGACGTGCTAGAATTCTCTCGGAACTCAAATTATATTTTCGCACATGGAGATCTGAGTTTAATGGACAGGAGCGCATTACCTGAGCTGTGGTTTAAGCTAATGAGAAAAAGATAAAAGGGGTCCTTTTCATGTTGCCTCCGTAGTAACTGCTATCTAAGGTGGTTTGTAGAAACTGCGGCTAGTTTACCCAGCGGGGCCACATACTGAGTCGTTTGGAATTCAGTTTTCCAATGAACAGTTTAGCCTGAAAGTCTTACAGTGCTTTCTATTACTTTTCTTTAAGATTTCATTTTTTTATTTTTTAAAAAATATATATTTTTATTGATTTTATACAGAGAGGAGGGAGAGAGATAGAGAGCTAGAAACATCGATGAGAAAGTCATCGATCAGCTGCCTCTTGCACACCCCCTACCGGGGATATGCCCGCAACCAAGGTACATGCCCTTGACTGGAATCAAACCCAGGTCCTCTCAGTCCCCAAGCCGATGCTCTGTCCATTGAGCCAAACCGGTTTCGGCCTTTAAGATTTTAAAATTGGTTTTGAGAGAGAGAGAGAAAGAGGAAGGGAGAGGGAGAGAGAGAAAGGGAGAGAAACATCGATGTGAGAGTGAGACATGGCCCCGGCTGCCTCCTGCACGGCCCCTGCTGGGGATGGAGCCCGCAGTTGGGACCTGAGCTCTTCCTGGAGTCGAACCAGCAACCCCTCGGTGCACAGAACGAGGCCAGCTTGCAGAGCCTCGCGGCCCAGGGCGCCTGTGCTCGCAGGGGGCGAGGAAAGGGCCTCCGGGCTTCCATTCTTGTTGGTAATGATCGATGCCAATGCTCCCCGGGCCCCGGACACTGTCCTCTCAGAGAGCCTTCCTCGGTCCTCAGGTTTGTCTTCCTGTGTCTCCACACTCAGGGCTCGCCAGGCGCCGAGGAGATCGTGTTCCCGCGGCAGCCGGCCGGCAGCGATGGGCACCTGCGGAGGCAGAAGAGGGACTGGGTCATCCCCCCCATCAACCTGCCCGAGAACTCGCGGGGCCCGTTCCCGCAGGAGCTGGTCCGGGTGGGTGCGCGGCTCTCCTTGTCTGGGGGCGGGGCGGGGGTGTGTGGGAGCATCTGGTCTGTCCTTCACCAGGTGCAGTTGACGGCATGTATCTACTAAGAATACTTCTTTAAATTTAATTTTATTTTTTAATATATTTTTATTGGCTTCGGAGAGGAAGGGAGAGGGAAAGAGAGAAACATCAGTGATGAGAATCACTGATCAGCTGCCTCCTGCACACCCCCTACTGGGGATCCAGCCCACAACCCAGGCCTGAGCCCTTTGCCGGAATCAAACTCAGGACCCTTCGGTCCTCAGGCCGATACTCGATCACTGAACCACACTGGCTAGGCCTACAGATACTTGTCACGAATGCGATGATGCCTTACGTTGTGCGGAGCCTCTTCTCATTTTGACTGTCCTCTCGGAGGGTTATTTGTGGGTGGGGCTCCTGAGCCCCGTGGAGGGGGAGGTTTGTCCAGGGGCGCAGACAGACGCCCCGAGTCCGACGCCGTGCGCAGCCGTCAGCCCTCTGCCAGGAAGCACGGGCACCGCGGCGTCCCCGTCCCTGACCCCGCTGCCCCTCACTGTGGCCTCTGCCCCCTGCAGAGAGCGCTGGGCCACAGGAAGAGGGAAGGGGCACTCGCTGCTGGAAATGCCAGCGCTAAGTGCATGGGAGGGTTTTTAAAAGAGAAAAAAATGACCTTGACACCATTAACGGAACCCCAGGGGCTGAGCGAAAACATAGGCATCGGAGGAGTCCGGTTTTATTTTGTTCCTCTAAATGCTCACCGTCAGATGTGTGCATTTAGAAAATGACAGTTCTGTGTGTAGCCAAATTAGCAACCCGTTTTTGTTTTTTTAGTTTAGTTTTTTTAAAATATATTTTATTGACTCTTTACAAAGAGGAAGGGAGAGAGAGAGCGAGAAACATCAATCAGCTGCCTCCTGCACACCCACACTGGAGGTGTACCCGCAACCAAGGCACATGCCCTTGACCGGAATCGAACCAGGGACCCCCCAGTCCGCAGACCAACGCTCAATCCACTGAGCCAAACCGGCTTCGGCAGCAACCCGTTGTTTATTACAAAAGGAAAATAAGGGGAAATCATTGTATTTTCACTTATGAGAAAATAAATGTTCCTGTAGATGGCGGATTTAGCATTCCAGTACATGCCTACTGAGAGCTGTGTTTTTTAATGAGTCATTTTCTGGGTTGTCGATGCTATTGTGTTGCACATTATAATTCAATTTAACAGCGAATGACATGCTCACTAAGTAAAGGTGTGTCTTGTTTTCCTACCTTAATGGAGAGTGAGAAACAGTGATGGTGCCTTACCTTTTAAGAGATAAACCAGATTCTGTTTTTGGACGGAGCATCTGTTCCCAATGCCTGCATCTCCCTCCTGTCCCTGCCAGCAGGATGGCGCTCCGGGCCCTCTCCCTGCTCTGCCCCTCCCCCCGTCCGTGGCCTGAGCCAAGGGGACTCCCATAAAAACTGACTTGTCCCGAGAGTTGTGGGCTTTGGAGGAGGAGGAAGTGAGCCCATGAGTGTAATTCTGGAGAAGCTAGAAATATATTTTAAAATCACGCCTTGTGTGATTTGTTATCAGGAAGGAGTTTGGTGTGTAAGTGCCACCTGGAAAAGACGGAAGTCTCACTTGTAGGACCACCATCACCCTAGCGCCCCCAGCGAGGCCTCTTCACACTCTGAACGACGGCTTCTTACCCTAACTGGTGCCCACAGTCAGCCCTGCTTGCCCATTAGGCTGTTATCTGGGGAATTCCCAGGAGAGAGGCCGGTGCTGCTGAAACGCCCACGGCCCTTCATGTGGACATCGGCCGCTGGGTCCAGGGGCCGTGCTGTCGGATGTTAGCATCGTGTCCGTCCCGCGGGTGATGGGGCATCGCTTTTTGAAGCCTGTCACCAAGAAAGCCGGGCAAGGGGCAGGCTGGGAGCGTTCCCTGGGTTTCAGGGAGGCGGGGTGCAGGTTTGTAACTGCAAAGGGCATGAGGCGTGACACACTGGGTCTCAGGTGACAGGCTCGCGTGGTCTCTAACGGGATTGCCTTCTGGACCCGCAGATCCGATCCGACAGAGACAAAAACCTTTCCCTGCGGTACAGCGTCACCGGGCCCGGCGCCGACCAGCCTCCCACCGGCATCTTCATCATCAACCCCATCTCCGGGCAGCTGTCCGTGACCAAGCCGCTGGACCGGGAGCAGATCGCCCGCTTCCACGTAAGACTTCTGCGCTGACATTCTGTGCGTGCAGTCTTCTCCGTGTGCGCCTCCCATGTCATTTTTTAAATGTGTATCTACACTAATAAAAGAGGAACAGGCACATTAACCTTCACTCCGCTACACCCACCAATTATTGAATCATATTCCATCCAAAGACTGTAGGCCTGCTTTTGCCCCACCCTGTATAAGTTGGACACTGATTTTTCCAACTTAGCAATAGCGCTGGGCTGAGTATTTTCAGATGCAAGAATTACCTAATATGAAAATGTCAGTTCCAGGAAGCCTGCTTCTGTTTTCTGTTTGTTTTTTCCTGGTCATACTTGTACATTTTCCTGGAACAAGATTTCAACCATTTTTTTTCTTGAGTTTAAATATAGAAACCTAAATTGATCTTTATTACTTCTTTAATTTCCACATGAACAACTAAAACATTTGATGAAATTGCTATTTTTTAGAGGAATATGTGCATGTTGCAAAAACTTTTCGAATAATACAGGAATAAAACTTTTCAAATAATACAGTATTGATAAGAAAGTGAAAACAATTTGCAATCCTAGTTTGTACAAATAACGGTTATCTTAAACACGTTGATGCCGTACTGTAAGGTGTTTTGCTGCGGATAAATTCACAAATTTTTTCCTTCAAAATTAGAACCATCCTGTGAAACTAGCCTTTGCCACTTCTCTGTCATAAGATTTAACATCTTCTCCTGTCAGTGAAAATTATTTATGTGCCCTAGCTGGTTTGTCTCAGTGGATAGAGCATCAGCCTGTGGACTGAAGGGTCCTGGGTTCGATTTCAGTCAAGGGCACATGCTTGGGTTGCAGGCTCAATCTCCAGTAGGGGCTGTGCAGGAGGCAGCTGATCAGTGATTCTCTCTCATCACTGATGTTTCTCTCTCTCCCGTCCTCTCTGAAATCAATGAAAATTTATATATATGTGTGTGTATATATATATATATATATATATATATATATATATATATATATGACTATTTACTTAAATCAAGCATGTCAAACTCGTGTGGGCCTGCCAGCCATGAATTGGTCATGCCTGATTTAAATGATACATTTTGATTGCTCCAAAGTATTTAGTTGAATGACTGTAATAACGCCTATTGGTGGTGGTTTGTTGTGGGTAGTCGGTAAGCTCTACACAGGAGAGGGTGTGCTGGAGGTGCTGTAACGTGGTAGAGCGTGTCCCCCAGAGAGCAGCTGCCTGCATCCTCCTTGCGGGAGCATCAGGGAGCATCCCTTTAAAAATAACTCCGTGGAACGCTGGGGCTGGCGCACAGGGTGAAACGGGTCTCTGTGCCAGAGAGAAGATGCTGACGATATCCTTCCAAGAGTAGCTGAGTGATTATATTTGTTTAAAAAGAAGAAAAAAAATGTCTAGAATACCTTCAAAGCGAAGACCTTGAGCTTGAGAGAAGAACAATGGTCTTACGCACCCATGCACTTACAAGATTCAGCACTGCCTTTGACAGTTACAGAGACCAAACCCCGTGAGAGAATTCCCTCCGCCCACCGATTCTCCCTGGTGCTCCCCGCTCCCTTGGTCTGTGCGAGTGCTCTGTGCCAGGAGCGCCTTGTTCCCCCGGAGTCAGCAGGACGGACAGCCAAGGGATCTGGGCGCAGAGGGTCCTGGCCTTGAACTCGGGCTCCGCCAGCGCCCACAGCAGAGTGGCTTGAGTTTTCTGGGCTCAGTGTTTCCCTTACAAACGCTGGTCGCTTCTGCCTCCTCGTTTGGGTTCAGTGAGGCAAACCCATCGGACGGGGGGCGCAGTGCCTGGCAAGGGTCCCTGTGGGCCTTGGGCCTTGGTATGGGGGGGACAGTCCCCGCTGACAGACGTTGCTGGAAGAGTGGCCCCTGTTCTGCTGGCCAGTGGGTGCCTGGGTGCTGGGGGAGGTAGGCTGAGGGGGTGCTGTCTCCTCACGCGGATGGGGACGCGCCCATGAGCCCGTGTCCGGGGCTTTTTGCAGCTGCGGGCCCACGCCGTGGACATCAACGGCAACCAGGTGGAGAACCCCATCGACATCGTCATCAACGTCATCGACATGAACGACAACCGGCCCGAGTTCCTGCACCAGGTCTGGAACGGGACGGTGCCCGAGGGCTCCAAGCCCGGTGAGTGCAGTGCGCGGGGGCGCCGGGGCCGCGAGGGAGCGGGCCGGGGGCCTCGGAGCCGCTTTGTCTTTCGTCCCTGGTGCTTTTGGGGAGAGGAAGGTAGCTTCGGGGAACCTGGGAGGAGAGAGGAAACGGGAAGATGTCCTTCTGCTTCTCGCTCTGATAGTCCCGCCTTTGGTGGAGGAGACGGGCTTTACAGCGTGGCATCCAGCGGACGGTCCTTCCTGCTCGGCCCCACACCCAGGGCCTCTGCCCATCGGGTGCGGCGTGCACCGCAGTCACAACGGCCCTGCACCCAGGGCCTGTGCCCATCGGGTGCGGCGTGCACCGCAGTCACAGCGGGCCCCGTGCCCAGGGCCTCTGCCCATCGGGTGCGGCGTGCACCGCAGTCACAGCGGGCCCCGTGCCCAGGGCCTCTGCCCATCGGGTGCGGCGTGCACCGCAGTCACAGCGGCAGCTCAGGTGCAGGGCAGAGTCCAAAGGGTGCTTGGGCCCAGCCAGGGGGCTCGGGGTGAGCATCCACCTAGGAACCAGGAGGTCACAGTTCCATTCCCGGTCAGGGCACAGGCCTGGGTTGTGGGCTCCATCCTCAGTGTGGGGCGTGTAGGAGGCAGCTGATCCATGATGCTCTCTCATCATGGATGTTTGTTTTTTTTCTCTCCTCCTTCTCCCTTCCTCTCTGAAATCAATACAAATATATTTAAAAATATAATAATAAAATATACTTGATTCCGACGAGACTGGTTTGGCTTAGTGGATAGAGTTTCAGTCTGCAGACTGAAAGGTCCCAGATTTGATTCCGGTCAAGGGCATGTACCTTGGTTGTGGGCACATCCCCAGTGGGGGGTGTGCAGGAGGCAGCTGATCGATGATTCTCTCTCATCGATGTTTCTAACTCTCTATCCCTCTCTCTCTTCCTCTCTGTAAAAAAATTAATAATATATATATATTTTTTTAAAAGAACTAGATATCTTTAAAATATATATATAGATAGATAGATAGATAGATATGTATTTTGTTGATTTTATAAGATATATATTTGGTTCCTGGGCCAGCTGATGTGGTAAGACCGAAAGTAGACTGGGGACACTGGCCATCGTCGGTCACTTCCTTTCGGGAGACTCAGGTCTCCCGCTGCCCCGGCAGTGAACTGGGGTCCGGGTGACCCCGCCGACATGCAGCACTTGCCCAGAGCCTCCTGGCACGATGTGTGACTAAGGCTTCGAGTCTTACCCCGAGTCCGCTGTGGGCGCAGGCTCGGGGCCAGCCCAGGAGGCCTCTGTGACGTGAGACCAGTGGGTGGGAGGGGAAAGGACCTGTTTGCCAGCGTGGTGCTGGGAGAGATTTCATTCGCTGTATCGCTGTGCGTTGTATTTTCCCCCGATTTACATGCCTCCCCACTCACAACGGTGCGGTTACCGCCGCCGTCAGTGCCGGCGTGAGCAGCTCCCTGTGCTGCACACACCGCACGGATCTGACCAAACGCGCTTCCCGCTGGTAACTTTCTCTCGGCCCAGTCACACCGGTCCGTGTCCTCAGAGAAGACGTGGAGGTGGGGCTGGGGCGCAGGAGTGGGGTGGGGGGCCTGCAGGAAGCTCAGCCTTCGGGGGCGCCCGCGTCCCAGTGCAGACGAGGCTCCGTGACAGGGAGATGCGGGCCGTGAGCCGCAGCGCGGGCAGGTGTCCGCAGGGCACATGGCCTGCCATGCCTGTTCTCAGGTAACGAGCCCGGGCTGTGTCTGCCTGGGGATGTTGTTTGCTTTTTATTTATTATGCATTGACCACGCACCTCCGTAACCCCAACCACAAATGAAAGACTTCGGATGTTTCGTGAGGAGCGGAGACACTCCGTGAGCGTGTTTCCTGTGGTGGTTTTGTATGTTCGAAAGCATCCCTTCTGGGCAAGCCTTCGTGCTACCATGAGTCCTGAGTGAATTGGCATTGCAATCAGCATTTTGGTTCAAGGTTCTGAAACGTTATTTTGCTTTAGCAACTCATTCATTCGGTCAGTCAGTCATTTACTCAGTCACTCAGCCAGTGTTTGCAGAGCATGTGCTGTGTTCTGGGCAGTGGACACCGCCCGGACTGATGAGTGAGTCCCTGCCCTGTGGGAGCATAAATTCTGCCAGGGAAGAACAGTACGAGGCACACGCAGGCAGATGAACAGACTTATGGGGGGCGAGGAGTGTGCAGCGATGACCTACAACCAAAAAGGTTGTCTAGTTTCGAGGGCCAAGCTCTGGAAAGTGACGTGAATGGTGTGGCCTCGCCTTAGCGCCTTAGTTAATTCTGCAGAAACTGCTCCCTGTGGAAGGGGAGCCACCGTTCAGGCTCCAGGAGGCCTGAGCTGAGTGAGCATGGAGGAGGCGAGGAGAGAGAAATGGGGCGATCCAGCTCTTGTCAGCAGCCCAGGGAACAAAGCCAGCGAAAGATCAGCTCCTTCTCTCGCTGCTCACCGTTACCGCGCGTCCAGCTGGTTGTGACTGGTTGGACCCGGTGCTTTGCAGATCTCCCTTCGAGGCGTCTGATGATGGAGTCCCTCGGTGGGTGCAGCGTTCCTTTGGTCTCCTGGGAAACGGGAGCCGCCGTGCCTCCGCTGGCCAGTGTACGGAGCAGTGACGGTGGCCGGTGGAGGGAGCGCTGGCCATCAGGCCCCGGCTCGCTTCCCCTCGGCCACAGAGAACAAGGGGAGGCTGGCTCAGCCTGCCATTTCCGATGCGGCTCTGTGAGGAGAACACGGGTCCGAGGGGAGGATCCGGGGGCCAGCATACCTGTGTCTAAGGGCCCCCGTCTCCCTCGTTAGTTGCCTTCTTCCTAAAGGACAGTCTGAAGTGATCCTTTATTTAATCTGTAGTGAACTTGTCTTCAAAGTGATGGAGAAAGGGAGTCTTTATGAATGTACAGATGTTTTACAATGTTCCTTTCAGGTAACGAAACCATGGTTTCTCTTCTGGGAAGTGCGGACTCTGGTCCGGCCGGCGTGGCTCCGTGGCTGAGCGTTGCCCTGTGAACCAGGAGGTCTCGGTTGGATTCCTGGTCAGGGCACAGGCCCGGGTGTGGCTCAATCCTCAGTAGGGCGAGTGTAGGAGGCAGCCAATCCATGATTCTCTCTCACCATTGATTTCTCTATCTCTCCCTGCTTTTCCCTCCTTTCCTCTCTGAAACCAATAAACTATTTAAAAATAATAATAACAAAATAAAGTGAGTACTCTTTTTTTAATTTTTGAAAAAAATATATTTTATTGATTTTTTACAGAGAGGAAGGGAAAGAGATAGTTAGAAACATCGATGAGAGGGAAACATCGATCAGCTGCCTCCTGCACACCCCCCACTGGGGATGTGCTTGCAACCAAAGTACATGCCCTTGACCGGAATCGCACCTGGGACCTTTCAATCCTCAGGCCGACGCTCTATCCACTGGGCCAGACCGGTTTCAGCAGTACTCTTCGTATGAATAGTGTTTTTAATCAAGTCTGTGGATGAAGTACTTGCTTTGAAAAGGAGGGCTTGAGGTTGAACGCAGAGGCAAACAGGCTGCTGGTTGGGAGACGCTGAAATGCAGGGCATCTGTTCACGCTCCGTGTGTGCCGTGTCCAGGAACATACGTGATGACGGTCACCGCCATCGACGCCGATGACCCCAACACGCAGAATGGGATGCTGAGGTACCGCATCCTGTCCCAGGCGCCCAGCACCCCCTCGCCCAACATGTTCACCATCAACAACGAGACGGGCGACATCATTACCGTGGCGGCCGGACTGGACCGAGAGGTGAGCCTCGCACGGCCGTTTTCCTGTTTGTTCCTAATCTCCGAGGTGCACAGCATGGCCCGCAGCTTGTCCCCGGGTGGCAGTGCATCCGCAGTGCTACTCATGGCTTATTTCCACCAAAAAAGCTCTGGTACCATTTTCTGCACAGCTTCAAACTGGTTAAATGATATAGGCACACAAGAAGTCCTTGCTAGTCTGACATGCTTAGTCTGTGTAAGACTCGGTGTGAGAACTGACTAAGTTAACTAGATGCCTCTGGTGGTTAAACAGGTGGAATTGGGAACCTCTGGCATCTACTTTCTAAAACCGTTGGCATTGCCTTGGTCTGGCCTTATGGTTGTGCCTTCTTTACAGAATGAGAGAGCATTTTACCGACCAGGCCTCTGGAAATGGGGGTGACGTTGTTTTCCAAACCATTTCTTGATTTGAAGAGACACTGCATTTTAGAGATAACAGTGTCCTTTTATAACTCAGAGCTTTCAATACTTGCTTTTTTAAATGTGTATCAGTTTCCGCAAACAGAGCTAACAAATGGAATTTCAATAAAACTTTCCACTTTCACTACTTTCGGCGGGGAGGCTGGCCTGAGCGCCTCAAACCTCTCTCCTAACCACGAGGCGTCCCTCCGGAAGAGCACTCTGGGTGGGGAGAGGGAGTCCCTGAGAGTCCTCTCTTGCATTAGCATTAGGTTCTTACGGGTTAAAACTTACCATGGCTCAGCCAGCACTCTCCCTTTCTTCCTGTTTTTAATTTAAAACAGTATGATGCTTTATTCTTTAGGTGGACAACAGAAACCTGCAATAAGTAACTGTTAGAGAGTGACATTTGGGCAGACAGAGACCTGGGGTCACGTGTGGGAGGGGGGTGTGCCCTCCGCTCTGTGGCAGGCCCTGGCCCGCCCCCTCGCAGCTGCTTCGGAAGCTGCAGTGTGTGTCTGTCCTGGCCACGCTCCAGCCACCCCCACGCCTGGCCATTCACAACGTGGGTTATATTGGGAATCAGGGAGGCTGCTCTTGCAGTGGCGGCTTGTTGGGGTTTGAAGAAGTGTTTTCTCTTGTTCAGAATGCCTTAACATTTGTGGAAACAGCCTATGTTTTTATCTGCGCCAATTGCCAGAGGTTTCCTGTGATCTGAGACATTCGTTTGGGTTAGATCTTCCTAATACACACTTGCCAGCTCGGGCTGCAGACTTCTCAGACAAGCTCGGCACACTCTCGGGGCAGTGCGTGCGGCTGGGTTTGGCCGTCCCCGCACACTGCAGCAGAATTTGAAAGCAGAGACGCCCATTTGGTAACAGTCGCCTGTGTGTGAATGTCATATGCATTGCAGGTCTGTTTATAACAATGAGTGTTATGTCCAAAGAGCAGTATGTCAGGTATACACATAGGAAACACCTACTGTGTTCCAGGGCTAAGAATGGAAACATGAATCCTTTCATTAGGTTTTGCCTTCATTTAAGAATGTAATCCTTCTATATACAGAGTGTCCCCAAGAAATGTATACACACTTTAATAACTGATAGCTCAGTTTTGAAAATGAAATGTATCTTAACCATCGTTAAATTAATAAAATATATTTAATTAATAGTTATTAAATTATTGAGAAATATCTTGGTTTACAGAAGCATTATGGTGAGGTAAACTTAACACCTCACCAATTACATGACTGCCTTTATAATGATTCAGTGTGTGTATACATTTTGGGGGGACACCCTATAGGTGTGAATAGCATATATGAATTAAAATAGGAGAAAGTATTGTATCAACTCTGTTATAATAGAGTGAATACAAATAGGAAAACACGCCCTCAAACATGTAAGCATATGTAATGATTCTGAATGTACATAGGATCAACTTGCTAAATAACTTGAGGTACCATTGTTGATCCATCAGATTGGCAAACATTAAAGATGGAAAATATCCCATTTTAGCAAAGGGGTTGGGGAGTTGGTTTTGAACACAGTTGATGAGGGTAATATTTCAGTGGGCAGTTTGTAAGTATGTGTCAAATTTGTTGATAGGCCTACTTCTTGACTCAGCAATCCCACCTAAATAAAGAAATCTATACTTATAAAAGAGTAATATGCTAATTAGGCTGGATTGACCAGACGCCCTTCTGGACAAAGCCACAGTGGTGGGGCTGAGTCAGAGGCAGTTAGGGGTGATCAGGATGGCAGGGGAGCAGTTAGGGGGTATTCAGGCCAGCAGGGAAGCAGTTAGTGGGCAATAAGACAGGCAGGCAGAGGTAGTTAGGGGCGATTAGGCAGAGGTAGTTGGATTGCGAGAGGGATGTCCAACTACTGGTTTAGTCCTGATCCCTGTGGGACCTAAACTGGCAGTTGGACATCCCTCAAAGAGTCTCAGATTGGAGAGCTTGCAGGCCGGGCTGAGGGATCCCCCCTCCGCCCCCGTGCATGAATTTCGTGCACTGGGCCTATGGTAATATAAAAAAGGAAAACATATATACTTAGTGGATTATTTATGCTTTCTTCTCCCTCTCAAGATTCTTCATTGTCTCTAGTCCCCTGAACGGGGTAGAAAGTGACATGTGATAAAATAAATGGGACCCGAGGGCCTGATCACATGCACTCAGACTCTGAGAAGTTCCCAGGGAAAGGGAGGGTAGAGCCGCTGGCAGTGTCTGCTCAGCTGTGAGTTTAACACACCACCTTCCCATGAGCAGAGATGAAAAGGCACGGTTCAGCCTCTCCAGACAGACAAGACCTGTCCGTGGCCAGTGACAGCCGGCTCCGTCAGGGAATCCCGGTGCCGTGATCGGGGTGAATGAGGCTGTGCTAGCCGTGTGGCATGAAGAGCATTTACAGCAGGGGAGCAGTTAGTGGGCGATCAGGCCGGCAGGGGAGCAGTTAGTGGGCGATCAGGCCGGCAGGGGAGCAGTTAGTGGGCGATCAGGCCGGCAGGGGAGCAGTTAGTGGGCGATCAGGCCGGCAGGGGAGCAGTTAGTGGGCGATCAGGCCGGCAGGGGAGCAGTTAGTGAGCAATCATGTCTTCCTGAGGAGTTGGTTGTATGTGTGTTACCTCCTTCTCCTTTCAGAAAGTGCACCAGTACACGCTGATAATCCAGGCCACCGACACGGAGGGCAGCCCCACCTATGGCCTCTCCAACACGGCCACGGCCGTCATCACCGTGACCGACGTCAACGACAACCCTCCCGAGTTCACGGCCATGTCGGTGAGTACAGCGGCCACACAGAACCCGGCCCCGGGGGCCCCTCGGAGGCCGCGTCCTGAGCGACGAGTATGTGTGTGGAGCGGGGACTTGCTCAGCCTCTCGGCAGACTGGCTACTGACTCCAGCATGTCCTGTCCTTGAACCAGGGTTCTGGTGAGGCACTCGAGCCACTTTTTCTCTTTTGGCCACCAAGTCCGCCGATGAGGTTGTTAAAATACGCCGCCTCGGAGACACGCTCCCCCCAGAGCTCTGTGCTGTTAAAACAGCGCTTATATGCTCTGACTGATGTGGCTCGGTGGATAGAGCATGGGCCTGCAGACTGAAGGGTCCCAGGTTCCATTCCAGTTAAGGGCATGTACCTTGGTTGTGGGCACTTCCCCAGTAGGGAGTGTGCAGGAGGCACCTGATAGATGTTTCTCTCTCATCGATGTTCCCAACTCTCTATCTCTCTCCCTTCCTCTCTGTAAAAAAAAAATCAATCTATATATATAAAAGCCTAAGCAACTATTATGACCGGTCACTACGATGGGTACTGACCACCAGGGGTCAGGTGCTCAATGCAGGAGCTGCCCCCTGGTGGTCAGTGTACTCCCACAGCCAACCTCCCGCAGTCCCTCCCCCTGGACTGGGCAAGATGGCCCCAATCACTGGCCAGGCCGAGGGACCCCACCCATGCACAAATTTGTTTATCAGCCTCTAGTAAAATATATTTTTTTAAAATAACACTTAGGCAAGTGTCCAGGTACATACACGGATGACATGACGGATGTTTATGACCTCGTCCACATATAGTGGCCATCTCTAGGGGAAAAATGGTCCCTCAGACTCACCCTGTCCTCCCCCCTCCCACTCATCCTCTGACCCCCCATCGGAGGCTCATTTTAATGCCATCTCTGGGAAAATAAACCTGTCTGCCGGCTAACATCTCATTATGTTTAACATCGGACAGAACCGCTGCAGGGTTAACGGAGATGGGGTGGGCTGTCGGGGCAGGGCGGTGGTCCGAGTACCCAGTCTGTGGTGGCCCCGGAGATACGCTGTCCTGCGGGGCCCGCCGCTCCTCTCACCGAGCTCCCCTTCCCGGCAGTTCTACGGCGAAGTCCCTGAGAACCGGGTGGACGTCATCGTGGCCAACCTGACGGTGACGGACAAGGACCAGCCGCACACGCCCTCCTGGAACGCGGTGTACAGGATCAGCGGCGGGGACCCCACCGGCCGCTTCGCCATCCAGACCGACCCCAACAGCAACGACGGCCTGGTCACCGTGGTGAAGGTGAGGGCGGGAGGGAGGGCAGGAGGGAGCTCGGGCCACCAGCCCACGGCCACGCCGCCGGCCAGGACCCCCAGTGCTCGTTCCGGTCTGGTGGCTTTCTCCTTCCCGTGCCCTGGAGGAGCCGCATGGGATGTGGTGGCAGTTGTTGAGGCCGGCATGGGGTCCGTCCCTGACCTCTGGAGTCCCGTTGTCATGAACTGAGTGTGGACACTGTTCGTCGGGGTAGGCCCGCCCACGGCGTGTTGCCAGGAGTGTGGCTCAGAGTGACGTGTCGCAGCCTGAAGTCTGGGTCCCCGTGGGTGGTGATGAGGGACGTGGCCCCGCCCCCTGTTCTTAGCCTCTGGGTGGCTGGTAGGTCCTGGCTCAGGGACAGGCCAGGAAATACCACAGAAGTGAGGTGGGGAGAGCAACCAAGAAGAGGGTCCACACGTTCGAAAGGTGTGGAAGGTGCTTTGCTGTGTTTGAATGCTGTTTTTAAGGTGAAGGCTTGACGGGTTTGGTTCTTCTGTTCTTTAATGCCCCCTAAACCCCTCCCCAACCCCCCCCAAAAAAAGCCCACGCGCTAGAAATAAAGAGGTAAGAACTCCAAGTGTGATAACCTGGCAGCGCTAATCAGTGCACAACTCTTAAAGCTCTGGGTCATTCGTGAGGAGCAGGGAGCTCCCCACACTGTCCATGGTGCCCCGCCCATCGCTGTCAGCGCCCCCACAGCAGGTGGTCAGAGAGAATTAGGAATCAAAGTTCAGGCTGGTCCCTGGGCTCCTGGTGACTTCCCCGTGGACAGGAGGCGTCAGGGAACTTGGGAAGTTAATATTTACACAGAGGGTTACGGGAGCATTGCCTTTCTCTATAGTGCTGTTCTTACAGAGCAGGAAAATACCCACAATTCTTTTGGAAAACAACCAGAATTTTTGTTTCCTAAGTAAAAAAAAAAACCACATCACTTTTCTGCTTTCTAAGTACTATTATTTTTAAGTGTAAATGTGCATGTACTTTAAAATGCATATATCAATATATCAGAGTATGATTGGACTTTCCAGTTGAACGAGTTTAGCTTTATGAAAAAATAACATTTTCTGGGTGTGGTCTATTTTTCTTTATCACACACTGGGCACAGCCCCCTAGAGAGGGACAGCCTTTTCAGAGTTTGATGACAACCTCTCAAGTGACCTATTGATGGAGTATTTTTGAGCAACCATTCTGTTTTTAAAAATAATCAAGACTTTAGAGGTAGCTAAATACGTTGTCATTATACTACCCGTGTTTCCCCGAAAATAAGACATCCTCCGAAAATAAGACCTAGCGCATGGAAAGATAAGACACCTTCTGAAAATAAGATCTAGTGCATCTTTGGGAGCAAAAATTAATATAAGACACTGTCTTATTTTCGGGGAAACAGGGTAGTAACATGTTACTCTGTGACCATAAGTCTTTGAAGGACCCAAGGTGTATAAACATCTCAGCTGAATTGTGAACACCATTTCCATCACTGACCATGCAAATGCATCTTTTCCAGAAATCAGAGAAGAAGCTATGGCAGAGTAAACGAAAAAGGAATGTTTTGGAGAAGGCGTTAATAGAAGGATAAACCACAGAACGAATGTATTACTTCTTACCAAACCATGGTTTCCCTTTTTCTCCTCCAGCCAATCGACTTTGAAACAAACAGGATGTTTGTCCTCACGGTTGCTGCGGAGAATCAAGTGCCATTAGCCAAGGGGATCCAGCACCCACCGCAGTCCACGGCAACTGTGTCCGTGACCGTCATTGACGTGAACGAAAACCCTTATTTCGTCCCAAATCCCAAGATCATTCGCCAGGAGGAAGGCCTTCACTCTGGGACCATGCTGACCACGTTCACCGCTCAGGACCCGGATCGATACATGCAGCAGAGCATTAGGTACCCGATGCAGCTGATGCTGGTCTCGCCACTCCCAGTCTGTTCTAGGCTGTGCGTCAGAGGGAGTGCTTGAGCCTGAGATTCCCACTGGATCCAGAGCTCCTTATTACGAGAGTATTGTTTATTCCCTGATAAACCGCAGTAGATCGATGAATAGAGCGCATTGGAGACTTAAGAGTGGATCAGCTCCAGTCTTATTGGAAGAACATGTGCTCTGGCTCCTTTAATTTTTTAAATAGCCTATATAATAAAGCTGTAATATGCAAATTGACCATCACTCCAACATATAAGATGGACGTCCCCATGTGGTCAAAGATGGTCGCCCCCATGTGGACACAAGATGGCCACCACAAGATGGCCTGCAGGGGAGGGAAGTTGTGCGCGATCAGGCCAGCAGGGGAGGACAGTTAGGGGCAACCAGGCCAGCAGGGGAGGGCAGTTAGGGGTGACTGGGTCGGCAGAGGAGGACAGTTAGGGGCAACCAGGCCAGCAGGGGAGCAGTTAGGCGTTGATCAGGCTGGCAGAGGAGTGGTTAGGGGGTGATCAGGCTGGCAGGCAGAAGCGGTTAGGGGCAATTAGGCAGGCAGGCAGGTGAGCAGTTGGAAGCCAACAGTCCTGGATTGTGAGTCGGACACCTCTCCAGGGATCCCAGATTTGAGAGGGTGCAGTCTGGGCTGAGAGACAACCACCCCCCATTCCCCCCTCCCAGAAACACTTCCCACGTTAACCACATCTTTCCAGCCGTCACCTGCAAACGTGCAAGCTGATTCACTGGTTGCATTTGGAACTAACCCGGTAAAGTATGCTTTTTTCCCCTAAGTCTCACGCACAAAGAAATAACCGCATTGCACTTTCCTTTTGTAGATACACAAAGCTATCCGACCCTGCCAACTGGCTGAGGATTGACCCCGTGAACGGGCAGATCACCACGATCGCGGTGCTGGACCGGGAATCCCCCCACGTGAAGAACAACATCTACAACGCCACCTTCCTCGCCTCGGACAACGGTGCGTCCTTCCGGCCAGGCTCCGCGGCCTCCTGCGTGTCTGTCCTCAGAGCGAGGAGAGCCCCTCGGGAACGTGTCCTTCAGACATGAGGTTTCCTGTGAGGCCCAGTTGTCTAGACCAGCGGTCGGCAAACTCATAGTCAAATATAACAGCACAACGGTTGAAATTTCTTTAGAGAGCCAACATTTTTAAACTTAAACTTCTTTTAAAGCCACTTCTTCAAAATAGACTGGCCCAGGCTGAAAACCGATGTCTGTGTATGGGCCATAAAGTTTCAATCGCATGTGCGCACGCACATGTATTTTGTGGAAGAGCCACACTCCGAAGGGCCAGAGCCACATGTGGCTCGAAAGCCGCGGTGTGCCCACCACTGGTCTAGAAAACTCTCAGGCCCCAGCTCCTATGCTCCACTTCCGGGGGTATCTGGGACATACCCCTGTGCTGCATGATGTCCACCCCCTCCTGGCGGCCTCAAGTGGTGATGACCGGCCTTTGGGGTTTTGTGTCCTGCTGCCGGTCGGGCCTTGTCACTGCAGGTGGAGTCCGCCCTCCGTGGCCCGGACACGGTGGTTCCTGGAGTGGTCTCTGTATAATATTTCTGTTGCCATCCATCTGTCCATCTGTCCGTCTCGGGCATTTTTCCTCTTTCTAATTCTCTGCCTCTAGTCTGTCATGAGCTCAGAAACTCTTAATTTGGTTTGTTCGTTGGGTTGACCGAGGACAGGAGCATCAGGGTATCGGCTTTGGGCTGATTGAGGACGGGAGCCTCAGGGTATCGGCTTTGGGACCGCGTTTTGCCTGTCTGTGTGGGTGTTGGCTGGATTGTAAGTCGTTGGGAGGGACCGGCAGCGGTGTTTCTCTGTCCGTGGTGACGGGCCGTCGGTGAGCGTGGTGGTACCGGCTGTGCTCAGCGCGGCTTGTGCTTGTCTCCCTCAGGAATCCCGCCCATGAGCGGGACGGGCACGCTGCAGGTCTACCTGCTGGACATCAACGACAACGCCCCGCAGGTGCTGCCCCAGGAGGCCGAGACCTGCGAGACGCCGGCCCCCAACGCCATCAACATCACCGCCCTGGACTACGACATCGACCCCAACGCCGGGCCCTTCGCCTTCGACCTGCCCCTGGCTCCCGCCAGCATCAAGAGGAACTGGACCATCACGCGGCTCAATGGTGAGAACGGCTCGTTATGTAAGTGCCTGTGCCCTGGAGCCGCCTGGTAGGACCAGGCTGTGTTAGTGGTTTATAATCTTCTCATTTAGTCTGTCTTCACAGCCACTTAACGTGTAAGACCTCAAAGCCCTGCCGAAACCAGTGTGGCTCAGTGGATAGAGTATGGGCCTGCGGACTGTTTGATTCGGGTCAAGGGCACGTACCTTGGTTGCGGGCACATCCCCAGTAGGGAGTGTGCAGGAGGCAGCTGATCGATGTTTCTCTCTCATCGATGTTTCTAACTCTCTCTCCCTCCCTCTTCCTCTCTATTAAAAGATCAATAAAATGTCTTTAAAGAAAAAAACAGCAAAGCCCTGAAAGCCAGCGTGCCTTCACCGCACAGCATGCTGGGATCTGCTGTCAGGGAGAACATTTCTTCTGGAAGGTGCTGGTGCTTCCCATCTTATGCGGTGGTCCCTCTCACTGGGCCTTTTTTTTTTTTAACGCAGGTGACTTCGCTCAGCTTAACCTGAAGATCAAGTTCCTGCAGGCGGGCATCTACGACGTGCCCATCATCATCACGGACTCGGGGAACCCGCCCAGGTCCAACAGCTCGGTGCTGCGCGTGAAGGTGTGCCAGTGCGACTCCAACGGGGACTGCACGGACGTGGACCGCATCGTGGGCGCCGGGCTGGGCACCGGGGCCATCGTGGCCATCCTGCTCTGCATCATCATCCTGCTGGGTGAGGCCCGGGGCCCCGGCTCCACCCCTGCTGCTGGGCCGCCGAGCAGAGGGGCGCCTGGACATCGCCTCTCCCAGTGTCCCCAGCCCCCGCCACCCAAGCGTGGTCCCCCAGTCCCATGGGGACGGCACTTCCCCTCAGCTGGGAGGGGCGCCCCTGTCCGTCCTGCTCTGACGTGGTGTTGGTAGCAAGCCCCGCCCAGGCCCTGTTGCCGCTTTCTTACTTCATTTTTCTTTTTTAATATATTTGTACTTATGTCAAAGAGGAGGGGAGAGGGCGAGAGAGAGAGAGAGAGAGAGAGAGAGAGAGGGACAGAAGCATCAGCGATGAGATAGAATCATAGGTCGGCTGCTTCCTGCACCACCCCCACTGGGGATCAAGCCCACAACCCGGGTGTGTGCCCTGACCGGGAACTGAACTGGGACCTCCTGGTTCATGGGTCGACGATTCTCAACCACGGAGCCTGGCTGGCCGGGCACAGATCATTTCATTAGTCCGAGTGTCCTCCGGCAGGCCCACGGGAAAGGTGGAAACGGTCATCGGCCCCAGGCATGGGCGACGGCACTGAGCACAGGCATCCGCCCAGTGAGTTCACGGGCACCGGGTCTGGGGCCCGGCCCAGGTCTCCACACGCCAACCCCAGAGGCGGGCCCTGCTTTAATCTCGTCTCTCAGTGTGAGGCCAGGGAAGGTGGCGGGGAAAAGGTGCCTGGCAGCGTTCCACCCACAGCGTGCGGATTGCGAGCGCTGCAGACGCGGTCCCGTAGACGGAGTGCCCGCCGTGACCGTGTCCGCCTGTCCCCTCTGCCCCCCAGTCCTCGTGCTGATGTTCGTGGTGTGGATGAAGCGCCGGGACAAGGAGCGCCAGGCCAAGCAGCTCCTGATCGACCCCGAGGACGACGTGAGGGACAACATCCTGAAGTACGACGAGGAGGGGGGCGGCGAGGAGGACCAGGTGAGCCCGAGCTAGCTCTGGGATGAACGTGGGAGATCGTAAACTCTGAAGGACAGGACACGCGTGAAGGCCCGCGGGGAGAGAGCGGCACCAGACGTGTGTCCGTGGCCGCACTGGCAGCCCGGGGCAGCTGTCCCTGCGGGTGCGGCGCCTCCTGAGCTCTTCCCAGAGCGTCCGGCGTGGTGTTTCCTGGGTGAGAAAGTCACTGACGTTGTCTTAAGGATCCTGGGTTGCAACCCAATTCTAGGTATATTTGTGGTAGTGAAATATTTTCATCTACAGTTTCTCTCCATCGGACATTCAGAAATTGAGTAAAAGTGGTTTCTTATATTGGGGTTTAGGTATGCACAGGGTGCCCCAAAGTGTATACTCGCACTGTGAATACTTACGAAGGCGGTGTTCGATAAAATACATCTCATTTTCAAAATGGAGCTATGGGCGGTTAAAGTGTGCGTACACGTTTGGGGGACACCCTGTGTGTGTGTAGGCATGCCTGGCAGGCCCGTGAGCGTGCCTCACAGCCAGTTTCCCTGGACACGCTGTCCCCTCCCCGCTGTCTGCTCTGGGGCAGGGAGACCTCTGCGTGTTTGCTCGCTGGGCCTCGGGTGGGCGTGCTCCGTGGCGCATGGGGGCGGGCTTCGGGGTGGTCAGGGAGTGGCCGGGCCACGCCAGACCGGCTCAGTGTCCGCTGCCCTGCCTGGCCCATGGACTCGGCGCCTCTCTTGTTTAGGAGTGGATTTAGGGTGCGTCAGAAGCCTGGGTGTGTGTGAAGCTGCTGTGAATACTGGCCAATCAAAGTGGCTCTGTGAATGGGCCCCAGAGTTTCTGGCTTAGAACCGCCTTTGGATATTCAAATTCATGCCTGGCTTCCTCCTTAATTAATCTGGCTTTCACTCTCCTGAGCCATGTTCAAGATTAGCAAAAACTGCGTAGATCGCGTTATTTCATAAATCTCATTCTGGTGTTTTATGTTTCATGTCATTCTCAGTCATTTTCTCGGCCTAAACTTATATCCAACTTAAGGAAGCTTCTCTGAAAATAGTCATAAGTACCCAGCCAGCGTGGCTCAGTGGTTGAGGGTTGACCTATGACCCAGAGAGTAGACAGTTCGATTCCTGCTCAGAGCACATACCCGGGTTGAGGACTCGGTCTCCAGTAGGGGGCGTGCAGGAGGCAGCCGATCAGTGACTCTGTCATCATTGATGTTTCTCTCTCTCTCTCCTTTTCCTTCCCCTCTGAAATCATTAAAAATATACATATTTTTAAAATAGTGCTAAGTGGAAGGACACCGAGCATAACTGGGTGCTGCGTAGAACTGGAGGCTGAGAGGCAAGGACCACAGGATTTCTCAGCATCCGCTGGTCTGGACCGGGCACCCGATGGGTCACATGACCTCAGTCCATCTCGCCCTCACTCCATCCCTGTAGGAAATTGTTTAAGGGACGGTGATGGCTGTAGTTATTTTAGGAAGGACTTCCTTCCTTTATTGACTTGGTGCGCTCAGATAGACGCTCGAGACCACGTGGTAAAAGGTGTCTGTGGCCACGAGGCAGCCAAACCATCGTCATAAATCCTCCACCCGTTCTCGTCCCGACCGCTGAGGTTTTCTTTGCTCTGAGATAAACCCTCGGGTGGGACTGGACTGCTTTCTGTCCACCTTCCCGATGGGGCAATCTGTCCGGCTCGCCTCTTCCTATCAGATCTGCTTCTTCTGTGACCGCCGAGGCCAGACTTCGTGTTTTGGTCGAAGGATCCCCACACCCTCCGTGACCCAGGCAGCCCCCTCGGCAGCATCCAGGGCCAGAGACGGGGGAAGAGCCCCCAGTTCCTGGACCGGGGTGTGGCTTCCAGGACCGGGGACTGCGAGGGTTGATGACTTAGCATCTCCTCTGTTCACCCCTCCATTCTGCATCTTAAAGCTACAGGACATTGAGCCGCCTGGGCAACCTGCCTGTGCCGGTCCCTTCACGCTTTAGTGCCTAACAGGCCACCACGGATCATCTCCAGATGCCTCTGGCCGTCCCGGCTAAATCAGGCGTCTGCTCTCCGTGTTCCCATGGGAACCTGCGCCAGCCTGTATTCGGAGCTCTGAGTCCAGCCCGGTCCTGACCTTGAACTCCCCGAGGAGAGCAGGCTGTCACAGTCACTTTGTCCTCCTGCACGCAGGCCGGCTCCCCTGGCCGGCTCTCCCACCCGCGTGCGCGCCGGGCCCTCTCCCCGGAGCTCTGCGTTTGTGCCTCTGCGGAGGCTCGATGCCACCAGCGCACCCCTGGCAGCGTCACTTTCCCTCTGAGGTGCCCGTGTCTTCAGGAAAGGGGACCGCCTTCGCCAGCGCTAGCATCTTGGACGGCTCTGTGTCTGGCCCGGGGCCCGCTCTGAGTCTGCGTGTCTCTCGTCATCGTCCCAGCAGCCTGTGCAGCTGGTGCTGCCACCAGTCCAGTTCCCAAACCGGGCCGGCCTGCCCGGGAGGCCGAGCTCTACTGCCCGGGGCGGGGTCAGGGCATCGTCCTTCTGTCCTGCCGGCCCAGCGTGGGCAGGCAGTGGGGGCCCGCGGGGCTGGCCCCTGGGCCCTGGGCCACAGCTGGTTAGAGGACACTAGTCACCTGGCTGGAGAACAAGCGAAGGTGAGACCCCATTAACTGGTGAAAGGCGGTTTGCAGAGTGGAGCACATGCAGACATCCACAGCACTGGCGTCGGGAAATGCGGTCTGTGTGGCCCCGTTATTGTATTTAAAAAGCCAGGCGTGCCATCTGGGCAGCTGGCGCTAAACTCTGAAACCCAGGCTGGGTGCCCAGACAGAGGGATGGGGTGCAGAGACCTGGAAACCCTTGAGGCCCACCCGCCGTCCCTGACTCAAGGTCACTGTGGGCCTGGGGTCAGCTGTGGACTCCTGCCCGCCTGTGAGCAGCCAAGCCCCTCGGCCTCCTCCTCAGCAGAGACCAGAACACAGCGGTGCCGTCTCCCCGTACTGGATCCTGGGGAACCACTGTTTTATGAAGCTGCTGTGCTGCGCTGTTGGCTAGAGCACACTGTTCATCATGCCCCCAGTTACTCCTCTCTCCATCCCCACCTGCAAGCAGGAGTCCCCCACCATGCACTGCCACTTCCTTATTCCTGAGTTTTGGGTTTCCTCTCAGAGGGAATAGTCGGTCAGGCTGAGATGGAAGGGCCGGCCTTGTCTGAGGGCCGATGTGTCCGTTTCTGTTGAGAACGGGGAACTTGGGGTGAGGAGGTGGGACTGAGGTGCCTCTGGGAGGCTGGGAAGAGTCTGGGAAATGGGCTCTCCGGACCCCAGGACTGGCTCTGGCTAAGGGTCAGGTTGCAGGAGGAGCATCCTTCCAAAGCCCTTGTTCTGCTAGACCCCAAGGCATGTGTGCGGGCCATGCAGCTGGGGCTGGGCTGTGGGGGGCGGCGGGTCCGAGGGGCACGGGGACCATGGATGGAGCTCCTGCCAGGCCACGGGGCAGTGGGAAAGCGGCTGATGCTTTGGCTCCTCGGGGCTGGGAAGGGCATCCAGCACGAGGCAGCACCCGTGTCCCCGTGGGGCCATAATGAGCGTGGGCACCACTTCCCGGGCACGTAGCTGCTCAGTCCCATACACGGCCCACCGTGCCGCCTGCCCACAGTGGGGCCTGGGATTCCGGAATTTGTTTCTGCTGGGGCAGCATTCTATTCCACACCTTCTCTAACACGGCCACGTGCCTGCAGGTAGACCCGCGATACCATTTTCTGAGCCAGCCGTGAAGCACCGCCGGGCAGTGGGAGGGAACGAGAAACGCCAGGACCAGAGCTTTAGCTGCTGATTTCCTCGTAATTCTCCCAAAATCATATCCAACTGAAGACACTGTCGATCCGAGGTGGAAGGAAATGTGTTTTTCGCCACTTGCAGCGTTAATCTTTGAAAAACTCTATCCCAGGCCTATTTCCAGGGGTCGTTGCCAAATAGCACGTGCTCCGAACCTCAGGACAATCAATGTCCCCGGCCGCCATGGGAAGTCCCATCTCTTTGGGAAGTTCACATCCTAAAGGTGGACAAACGTGAGGATTTTCCGGCTCCGCTTTTTCTCCGGAGCTTTAGGAGCCAACTGAAGACTTCTTGTTGGGTTGTTTCTCCTCTATAATCTTCGGAATGAAGGCCAGGCACCCAGTGACCTTGAGCATGGTCTGAAGTCTCTGCAATTCTCTTTATAATTCTCATCCTACACATTGTAATTTGTGTGAGGAGAGCGGCACAGGCCGGTAAAGACGTATAATTTAGAGGGTTTGTCCCTTATCAAAGGGCTTAAAACGGGAGCCTGCGGTCAGGACCTCTGCCCCCAGCACCCTCATGTGGACAGCGTGCCCACCGCTGAGCCCTGAGCACACCGGCCGCTCCCGCCAGCAGCGGACTTTTAGATCCGTATTTGCCATAGACCAGTAGAAACCATTAGAGAGACTTTATTTATTCATTTTTAAATATTTATATTGCCCTAACCGGTTTGGCTCAGTGGATGGCGTGTCAGCCTGCGGACTGGAAGGTCCCAGGTTCGATTCCAGTGAAGGGCATGTACCTTGGTTGCGGGCACATCCCCAGTGGGGGGTGTGCGGGAGGCAGCTGATCTAAGTCTCTTTCATCCATGTTTCTCTCTCCCCCCTTCTTCTCTGTGGAAAATCAATAAAATATATTAAAAAAATATCTTTATTGTTGAAAGTTTTACGTAGGTCCCCATTTTCCCCCATTAACCTCTTCCAGCCCGCTCTTGTTTCTCCCCCTCCCCCTCTTGCTCCTTCCCCCCCCTCCAGGCCTCACCACCCATTGTCCGTGTCCACAGGGTATGCCTGTGTGCAGACAAGTTCGCTGGTGGATCTCTTCGCACCCGCCCTCCCCAGCCTCCCCGCTGAGGTTCCGCAGTCTGTCCACGCTTCTGTGGCTCTGGTCTGTTTTGTCCATCAGTTCAATCCGTTCATGAGGTTCCACAAACGAGTGAGATGACCTTTCTCGTCGTAGAGAAGCATGTGTTAACCCAGCTCCCAGCTTCCTGCTGTGGGTTCTCCTTCCTCCCGGCCCGTATATGGCTCGGTGCAAAGCCAAAGCCGGTTTCCCCACGCTGAGCCTGCGCTTTGCCAGCTATCAAGTTCACGTGCCAGCTGCCCTGTCCTGCTCCATGCACCTGCCACCCCTCCCCTGCCGCCTGTGCTCTCCCCCGGGTGGCCCCTCCCCCCGCCTTCCCCGGCTAGCTCAGTTAGCTCAGTGAGCTCGGCTGAGGCTCTGGTGGGCCCAGGCGACAGAGGGAAGTTTGAGGTCAGCGTTTGGAAGTCGGACACATCTGGCTTTGGTTCCCATCCTGATCGTAGACTTGCTATGTGACTTTGAGCAAGTTACTGGACCCCTCTGGGCTGCCTCCTCCTCTAAAGGTGCTAATAAAACCCTCTTTGTGGGCCTGTCACAAGGTGCTGGTGAGCGGGCCCTTATCGAGGGGCGAGTGTGGTGCCGGCCGGGAGGGTCTGCGTGCCTGTGGCTGTTCTCTGTGGTCCCCGGAGTGATTCCAGGCATTCCTCGCATTCCGGTCCCTCCGCACTCCTCTCTCGGATGCTCAGGCTGGACCTGCAGGGCGAGGGTCGCGGCTTTGAGGTCTGATGCCCTGGAGTCCGTCTGTCTGTCTCTGAGCCTCAGTGGCTCAGGGACCGACCAGGACCAGCCACTTGGGCTTCTGGAGACTCGGCCTCCTGGACTCTGCAATGGAGACACTGCAGCTGAACGTCCACCGCGCTGCTCAGAGCATCTAAGGAGAAAACACGCGTAAAGAGCCTGACCCGTGGTCGGCAAACTCATCAGTCAACAGAGCCAAATAGCAGCAGTACAAAATTGAAATTTCTTCTGAGAGCCAAATTTTTTAAACTTAAACTCCTTCTAAAGCCACTTCTTCAACATAGACTCTCGCCCAGACCGTGGTGTTCTGTGGAAGAGCCACACGCAAGGGGCCAAAGAGCCGCCTGTGGCTCACGAGCCACAGTTTGCAGACCACTGGCCTAGACCATCCCGAGCCTTGAATAGATCAAAGCTGCTGTCAGAGCTGCCAGCGGTTCACCTGGTTCAGAAAGAGAGGAAGCTGTATGATGAAGGCATCAGAACCTGCGAATACCAGCATTGAACGGGGGATTTTCCGCTAAGCTGGGGTGTGGCGCCTCATGTCGCTGGGATCTGGGGGTGTTCCATCCGCAGAGCGTCTGCCGGCACCTGAGAGCCGGGTGCGTCTCACAGTATACCGGGCCCCGCTGGTGCTGTGGAAGCTGGACGGGTGCTGAGGGCCAGGCCTGCCCAGACCTTCCCCACCAGCTGGGCGGGCCCAGGTCAGGGGTCAGGGGTCAGGCCACTTTCTGAGATCCCACGGGGGCCAGAGGGTGGCAGACCTTGTCCCCTGTCCGTGACGAGCCATGCAGCGAGGGCTGCGGGCCACACACAGTCTCCGGGCGCAGGCGTCCGTGTTGTGGTGATTGGAGTTTAACGATGTGAACGCCTGGCTTAGGACCAGGAAGCGGGTCAGAGGGAGCCTGTGGACTCCGCACTGGGACGGGACGGAGGTAAAGCGTGGTGCTGAGACCAGCACGACCTCGTGCCTCCATTGGGGGAAAGGGAAACATCCCTGCATCGGTTTAAAACAAAGTTTTATAAACGTCCTAATGGAGAAACAGGCTTCCTCCGCCCAGAGGGTCCGCACCTGTGTCCTCTTCGCAGGCACCCCCGGGAGCCTTCCCGGGCGAATGAAACCCAGGACGTGGCCAGGGCGGGAAGCTGCCAGACAGGCGGGGCTGGGCTCTGCGGGAAGCGGAGGGAACTGATGAGAAAGGAGAATGCATGGGAGAAGCAGGAGGAAGGCCGGGCTCTGAAGTCCCCTGGCACCCAGCTTGTCCTCCCTCCTGCCGGTCCCAGAGGGGGTCCTCCATGGGGGAGCTTTAGGGGGACTCCTGTGCCCAGGGCGATCGGGGGACAGGGGAGAAGGCCGCAGTGACCTTCCTGTGTGTGTCATTTTGAGAAATCCCTCCCACGTAAAGCACGCAGTGTGGGAAGGTGCCCTGTGGGAGGGCAGTGGGGCCGTCGTCAGCTCTGCTGCTTTGGTGCCGCTGTGTTTCCCCGTGCGTTTGTCACCAGTGGGGCCTCCTGTCTCCACCCTCCCCCCTCGGGAACAGAGGAGGAGCCGTAGGGGGCGGATGGAGCACAGGCTGTGGGGTGAGAAACCGGAGGCAGAGCGAGGGGGAGAGGTCTCATGGCCAGAGCGTCTCCCGACACCGCGCTCACGCCCCGGCCCGCCGGCCTGTCTCCGCAGGACTACGACCTGAGCCAGCTGCAGCAGCCGGACACCGTGGAGCCCGACGCCGCCAAGCCCGTGGGCATCCGCCGGCTGGACGAGCGGCCCATCCACGCCGAGCCCCAGTACCCCGTGCGCTCCGCGGCCCCGCACCCCGGCGACATCGGGGACTTCATCAACGAGGTACGCGTCCCTCCCTCCCTCCGTGCCTCCGTCTGCCGCTCACGACTGGTTCCGGGAGACCCCGAGGGCCGGGCCCAGCGGGGTCCTCGCACGTGTCCCCCTTCAGGGTGTCTGTCTGGGTGAGCATGAACCACATGGAGGTGCTGGATCGGCCCCAGCGGGGTCTGTCAGTGCATACCTGCCTTTGTGTAGGCCGGCTTTCGCAGGGAGTTCAGAAACCTGTGCACACACTCCGAGTACTGACAGGACCCTGCCGATTAACACACACTCCCTTTTCACACCAGGGCGCTCTGCTGTCACAGCGCGTACATTTTGGGGGAACGCTCTGTGTATTATCAGGATAGGTCAGTGGTCTGCAAACCGCAGCTCGAGAGCCACATGCGGCTCTTTGGCCCCTTGAGTGTGGCTCTTCCACAAAATACCACGTGCGTGCACGTGCACATACAGCGTGATTGAAACTTCATGGCCCATGCGCAGAAGTCGGTTTCTGGCTCTCAAAAGAAATGTCGATCGTCATACTGTGGGTATTTGGCTCGGTTGGCTAATGAGTTTTCCGACCGCTGGTATAGGCTATTTCCTGAGATTATAAGCAGTCCATAGACTAACAATATGAAAAGGCTGTTCTAATTCCATCCGTCAGCACTGATGAAGGTCAGAATAGCTCACTTTCATTTTCCTCACTTTGCACCCTCCAAACCCACAAACGGCGAGAATCCAGGGCCCCCGTGACCAGAGAGCGCCGTCAGACCAGACCAGCAGGAAGAGCAGCGAAGTTAAATGCTACAGAGGTGCTTTAACTGCTTGTCTGGTTGAGGAGTTTTAAGCACCTGGAAAAGGCAGCTAATTCTCTGCTGAACGTAACGGATATGATTTCCACTGTCAGCACCTCCCGGCACTCTCGTAGGTCATTACTGGCCCGGAGGTCTGCGACACGTCTCGCTCCAGTTTTGAACGAACGTGACGAGTGCCGCTTCATCTGATCATGTCTGTGGTCGGCCGCAGTCCTCCTTTTGACTGCTGGTTAGGAGTGTAGGAGCGGTGCCTATTGATACTGACGGTGAGTATTCGGCAGGACTGCGTCTGCAGCCAGACGGTCCCGCTCAGTATGTCCAAGACGAGGACAGAGGTAAACCCAGGCCGCAGCTGTGCCTGGCTGAGGGTGGACAGGAGGAGCTGGAGCACATGGGTAAATTCATTTCCGACGGCAACAGCGCTCTCTGTCCTGAGTCTTATTTGACTCAGATAGCACCCAGGGGCCCAAAGGAAGAATAATTCAGCTGTGATTAGAATAGAGGTGTTTTATAGATGTGAGGGACAGGTAAGCTCCGGAGAACGTTTTACCATTTGTTTGTTTGTTTGTTTGTTTATATAATAATGAATTTTGCCTCAGCTGTCAAGAATGATAACATTTCCAGCCTGGCAGGCAAAGGAAAACAAATCACACGATTTTTAATTCCGGCTACAGCCTTTCGTTCCATGTTGAGGTTTTTAAACGTGACATTCAGAGTTTGAGAAGTGGAAGCACATTTATTCCATCTGGCCCAGCAGTAGGTATTAGCGCATCTCCAGTAAACTTCACTAATCCCGTCTGCTCCTTTATCTCGGAAGCACAAAAACCAAGGCGTTCTTCCGTTAAAAGACCGACCTTTGATTGTTATCATTTAAAAATGTGGGGAAGGTGCTTTTGGAATAACTTGCTTAAAGCTATGGAAATTGAAAACCGGGCTTTTGTGCCTACGGATTAAATCCCGTCAGTTCTCTTTAAAATGCCTCTGCCTGCTCTTACTGGGTGGGGCGTTTGGGTTCAAATCCGGCGGCCTGGCCAAATAGCTCCGTGACCTTGAACGAGGTCACGATCCTCGGTGTCACCTGTTGGGCTTCCGGTCTGCTTCCTGTAAAGGAGGATAAGGATAGCACTTCCCTCTGAGACGGCAGCGAGGCTTACGCGAGCAAATCCAGGTGAAAGTGCTGGGTCTGTGCCTGTCAAATAAGAAAGCATCTTAATGATTATCAGTATTATATCTTTATTATTGCAAATTACCTTCCTACTGTCTTCTAGTTATAAATAGGACACACAAAAACCTCCTCTTTTTAAAAAAACGCTTTTGAGTAAAATGAAATTCCCAGAAAGGGCCTCAGCGATGCCGGTGTGGCGCTGAGGACAGACTCCCGCTGTCCGGTGAGCGTGCGCCCTCAGTGCCATGTGTATACACGCCAGTGCTCGCTTCTGCCCGAGGGGCGAGTGTAAATGCGCACAGGGCGCTGAGAGGCCATAAATAAGCCCAGGACCGCGGCCCGAGTGCCCTCCTCACGCCTGCTGGACGCCAGTCTGGGCGCCGGCCATGGGAGGAATACGGACAGCCCCTGCGAGGAGAGGTGCCATCGAGTACGGCTGGCACCTGGCAGGAGAAGCTGGTGGACCACAGAGACCCCGGCCATGACTTCCAGGCACCGCGGGGGGACAGCCGTGCAGGAGTGGCATTTTAGTAGGCCTCGCAGGATGGACAGGGGAATGGGTGGGTGGGAGGGTGTTGATTTTGTGAAAAAATATTTCAAACAAAGGGATTCACAGAGAACAAGCCTGCCGCCTGGAGGACAGGAGCCCGGGGCGGGGACAGGCAAGGAGAGGGTTTGGGGGCAAAATCAGCGGTGGGTGCAGGAAGGACGCACCCCCAAGGCAGACGAGGGGGTGACCCTCTGAGACCGTCCCCTCCGGGGAAGGGGAAGGACTTCAGTTTTCCCCACGTCTGCAAACTCTCCTGGATACTTAAACTGTTTAATCAGTTTTGACTTAATTTTTTATTAGAGCGGATTACTGTAAGGGCTCCTGCACTGATTAAAAATCATCTCGCGTGTCCCCAGGGAGACGCTCCTGTCCTTGGTAACTAGGTGATGGAGAGCAATCAGAGGATTGGGCCGGGGAGAGGGACACCCAGTAACACAGGAGAGGGAGCCAGGGGGGGCAGGGACCCCCCGGGGAGCAGGAGACTGTGAGAGAGGCTCGTGCTGTCCAGGTGAGGAGGTGATGGGGCCTGAACCGAGGCAGCGGCGGAGACAGGAGGCCATGGGCCTCCCTCCTGCCGCTCCTTCGCGGAGGTCCCTGTGAGGGCACTGCACAGGATCAGAGCCTGCGGATACCCGCTCAGCAAGGCCTCAGGCCGCCTCAGCTCTCAAGGAGGCGCCGGGGACTGTGGAAATGGGTAGTTCAGCCAGCCCATGGCTCAGGGGCTGAGCATCCACCTAGGAGCCAGGTCGGGCTTCGGTTCCCGGTCAGGGCACCTGCCTCGGGATTGGGGGCTCGATGCTCAGTGTAGGGCGTGCAGGAGGCAGCCGGTCAATGAGTCTCTCTCATCATTCATGTTTCTACCCCTCTCGCCTTCTCCCTGCCTCTCTGAAATCAATACAAATATATTTAAAAAGAAGCAATGGGCCTTGATTTGAATAAATAAGTGTCAAAAAAAATAAATAAATAAAGGTGCATTTTTTGGCCTCTGCTCTCTGAGGCTGCAGTAGCAAACAGCTTAAAGAGGTGACTTAGAATAACAGCCTTTCTCAGTCACAGGGTAACTGGGCCTGCAGTGCCCGGGTCTCCTGCCTCTGAGGAGGCGGAAGGGGAACTGCCCTCCGGGGCCCCCCTCCGGCTGAGGAGCAGGGAGAGGAGCCAGCGGAGATGTGGCCGCTGGCACTCTGGAGAGCAGCCTAGCCCAGGCCAGGGCGGCTCAGTGGGTTGGAGTGCCGTCCAGTGCACCGAAGGGTTGTGGGTTGGAAAGGCTGGGGTGCATGTGAAGGCAACAGATTAATGTCTCTATCACACTGATGTTTCTCTCCCCTCCCGCTTCCCCCTTTATCTCTCCTTTAAAAAAAAAGAAAAAAAAATGGAAATAAACCCTCCAGTGAGAATGTAAAACACACAATCTCATCTGCACAGCTGCCTCCATTCACTGGCCAGTCCAGCCCGGGCCCAGCGTGCGGTCGGTGGGGAGGGCAGGCCGGCTCGCCCAGGGGGCCCTGTGGTCTGGGCGGGGGCTCTGCCTGCGGGAAGGCCTCCCGAGTCACTGAGGAAAGAAACCATGAATTTGGAGAAAAATTACAGCCTGTGGTTCCCGGCCTTCACAGACTGACCATGTGGTTTATTCTATAAATACGACGAAGAAAGTGCCATCTCAACTTGTTTTGTATGGGCTGTAGTCACTGTGCCCTTAAAAGAGAGGGATACCTGATCCCAGTTTATCGGTCAGTCTCCCACTGCCTGCTGGGTAAGATCGCACATGGCTTCACGCGGGAGTTACCTTAGGTTATTAGCCAGAGGGCCTAGTCTTCACTCTTCCTTTGATGTCCTTCCGAGTTCAGGTCAACTGCCAGCCACTTCTTCCTGGAGCGCCTAGTTCTGGGTGCGGGTCTGAGTTGTTTTTCCTTTTTGTTTCCTTTTTGGCAGCCCTGAGCCTGTGGCCTGCGCATTCTCCAGTCACACACCTCCCAGTGTACACCTTGGCTTCGCTGGCCTGGCTCCCTAGGGCTGTGGTCGGCAAACAGCGGCTCGCGAGCCTCATGCGGCTCTTGGGCCCCTTGAGGGTGGCTCTCCCACAAAATACCACAGCCTGGGCGGTCTGTGTTGAAGAAGTGGCGTTAGAAGAAGTTTAAGTTTAAAAAATCTGGCTCTCAAGAGAAACTTCAGTCGTTGTGCTGTTGATATTTGGCTTTGTTGACTAAGGAGTTTGCAGACTACTGCCCTAGGAGTTCTTGCTTTATAGAAGAAAGACAGAAGTTAGCTTTGTCTAATTTTTTAAATTTATCTCTGTTGTGGAAAGTCATGCAGATGCTATTTTTCTCTCCCATTGACTCTAGCCTACCCCCCACCCCCCACCCCCTACCTAGGCCTCCATCACCCTGCTGCCTGTGTCCACGGGTGATGCATGCAAGTGCTTTGGTTGATCTCTTCCCACCCACCCACCCTTCCCTCGGAGGTTCCACAGTCCGTTCCATGGTTCTTTGTCTCTGGATCTGTTTTGTTCATCGGCTTACTTTGTTCCTTGGATTCAACAACTCAGTGCCATCTGGGACCCTCTTCCTCCTCTGCTTGGCTCGTTTCGCTTAGCGTGCTTACTCCTGAGACAGGGCGGTAACCCCGGGCTGCAGGGCAGAAAGGCTGTGGTCAGCCGGTGGACACTGGCCGCCCGGCGCTGGGCCCGGCGGAGCCCGGGGCCCTGCCTGGGGCTGTCCCGCGGTAACGGTGGTAACGGTAACCCTCTCCTCGCCCCCCCTCCTCTCCCTCCCCACCGCAGGGCCTGAAGGCGGCAGACAACGACCCCACGGCGCCGCCCTACGACTCGCTCCTGGTGTTCGACTACGAGGGCAGCGGCTCCACGGCCGGCTCGCTGAGCTCGCTCAACTCGTCCAGCAGCGGTGGCGAGCAGGACTACGACTACCTGAACGACTGGGGGCCGCGCTTCAAGAAGCTGGCGGACATGTACGGCGGCGGCGACGACTGACCGCGGGCCCGTCCGCGCTGTGCCCCAGGCGCCCGGAGCTGGGCTTGGACGTGCGCCCGGCCCGCGCCGGCCGGGGCGTGGGCACGGGCTGCCCACCAGGCGGGCCCGGAGGATGCCCGCGCCCGCAGCCGCCGCCGGGAACTCCGAGCTCCGTCACACTTGAATTTTGCAGTACAGAAGCACTGGGATTTTACGTGCCTTTTTGTACCTTTTTCAGATTGGAATTAGTTTTCTGTTGGAGGCTTTAATGGTACCGATTTCTGACACGGACGGGACGCAGGGACAGACTGTTTTGTGGGGCAGCGGGGGAGCTAGACCGGGGCGCGCGCTTCAACACGCTCCGGTTCCATCGCATTTGCTTTGGTTGGGATCCCGAGGTAAACACGCAAACACGCAGAACCCTCATGGAGCCGTTTTTACACTCTGGGGGGTGGGGGGAGGCCGTGAGATTGGGAAAAAATGTACATTACTTCTAGTTTTAGACTTTAGATTTTCTTTTTTCCACTAAGATCTTAAAACGTATGCAGCTGGTTGCGAAGAAAGGGAGTTTTCATATCACCCGTTTGTAGCGGAATTTGGATTTTTTTCATAAACTAGGATGTTAGGCACATTTGGTCTTAATCCGTGTACACTTTTTTTTTTTTTAATTGGCTGTTGTTTTTTTTTCACTTCACTGTACAAATGGTATGTGTACATAATGTTTTATCGGCATAGTCTATGGAGAAGTGGAGAAACTGCAGGACACGTGTGTGTATGTATTATTTGGACAAAGGATTCAGGTTTTTTGCATGTTTATATCTTTCGTTATGGTAAAGTATTTACAAGCCAAGTGACATTTGATTCGATTGTTGAGCTGTAGTTAGGATACTCAATTTTTAATTTTTTAATTTTTTTTTAAATTTTTTTTGTTTTTGTTTGGGGAGGGAGAAAAGTTCTTAGCACAAATGTTTTACATAATTTGTACCAAAAACAAAACAAAAAAAAGAAGAAGAGGAAAGGAAAGGGGTGGGCTGGTGCGGGCGGCACTGCTAAGTGTGTGTTTTTAAGAAGAAGAAAAAATGGGGGGGGAAAAGCTTTTAAACTGGAGAGACCTCTGACAACAGCTTTGCCTCTGTATTGTGTACCGGAATATACACGAACACCCCAGCGTTCTGAATAAAATGCTAATTTTGGATCTGGTGCCTGGTTTGAGCTTTTTTCCCGCTTGAGCTGCTGTGAAGGGTGCAGAAACCCCAGGTCCCGGCGTTGCGGTGAGAACAGCAGCACAGAGGTGGGATTTGCTTTTGTGCTTTTCACCCCGGAGCCCTTGGCGGGCAGCCGGGCCCTGGAGCAGCAGAGAGGACCTGTGGATCTTCCCGTTCCCACAGAGACCGGCACGAAGGGAGGCAGGAGCGGGGGTCTGGCGGGCCACACATCCATCCTTACCCGCAGCACCTGGTGCCGTCCCTCCCGTCACCTCTGCTCCGATTCCCTTCTGCTCCAGCGTGTGCTGACGGCTTTCTCCTTCCCGCCACCACAGCAGGAAGTCCGCAGTTCAAAGGGGCGGACTGGCCTGGACACTAGATTTCTTAGCAGATCCCCAAGGCCATTGTTTATGTACGTAGTAAAATGTACGTGGGTTTGATCTACTTCCATTGGTTGACGTGACAATTTTCCCCCCAGCTTTATTGAGCTATAATCTACGTTAATAAAAGAGAAATATGCAAATCGACTGTACCTCTGCCATACCCATCAGCCAATCAGGAGTGAGTATGCAAATTAACCCAACAAAGAAAGGTTAATTTGCATATGCAGACATGGAGTGAAGACGGAAGGCTCCGACCCAAGTGAAGACTGAAGACTGAGGGGCTTGGCTTCTCCATTCCGGCCAGAGGGAAGGCCTAGGTCCCAGGTGCCAGAGGAAAACCAGTGCCGGCAGCCAAGGAAGGAAGGCCTAGTGCATGAATCTCTGTGCACCAGGCCTCTAGCTGATGAATAAAATCATGTGTGTGTGTGTGTGTGTGTGTGTGTGTGTAGTATGTGTGTGTGTGCAAGGTGATGATCTGATGTATGTGTACATTATAAAATAATTTCCACACAAGATAAGACGTCCATCACCTCACATAGTTACCTTGTTTGGGTGTAGTTGTGTATGTGTGTGTGTGGTTGTGTGGTGATGACACTTAAGATCTACTTGCTAAGAAAATATAAAGTGTACAGTATAGTAGTAGCCTGATGGAGTCATAGAGGAAGAAAATGGAAATGATCTTACTAACTTTGGTTTCTGTATGTCACTGTGATTAGTGAGTTTTAAGAGATGATGAAGGAATTCTCCCTGTATCTTTGTTTGTTTCATGATCCTTATTATACCATATATGCTTATACTGTCCAGTCTGAGAAACACTTATACAGTACACCTCCTCTAATGAACTCCAGCACTTCTGTGCTATTTTTGTAATAATTAAATGCCAGAGCTTGCCTCTGGGGGATTCCGTAATGAAACTTACTGAATTTGCTAATTGAAATAGTCTTTTCTAAGATGTATTTCTAGACGGGGTCTGTGGTGCTGTTCACCCAAATGAAAACTGAGCTGTGTTTTTACTTTATTCACTGATGACACTAGTACAAATTTTTATATCAAATTTTGCAATATTTAAAATTTTCCTCCCTTAGATAAACACTCTTAATTTTCTTACAGTTACTGTACAGTCACAACCACAGACTACATCTCATACATGCATAAACTTTGAGCACTAATAATAAGCATTCTATATATAATAAGTAAATGTAAACATTATCTTTCAAAACGTACCATTATTTGCAGAAATAATACATGAATCTATTTCCTTGTGAAAGCGCTTTTCAAAAAATCAAAACAGGAACCAATAAAAAGTGAAAGCCCCTGCCCTGCTTTTGGAGAAATTTTCATTAGCCTTTTGATGTGTAATTTGATTTTTTTTTAAAAGCACTTTTATTCACACACTATAGGCCCAGTGCACGAATTCAGCATAGGTGGGGTCCCTTAGCCTGGCCAGTGATCGGGCCTGGGAGGGACCTGGCCAGGGAAGGGGACGTGGGTGGTGGGTGGGTGAGAGCGCAGATTGGGGCCAGATCTGTCCGGTTGGCCACTGCAGTGCGCGTGATAGTGACCAGTTGTTCTGGCCGCTCCAGTCAGTGGTTCTGCTGTTCTGGTCACCAAGCTTTTATATATATAGGTTTCTAGAAAGACTATGTTTTCATGAAAATAGTCTGTGATATATTTTCTGTAACTTGCTTTTTTTCACTAAAGCATGTGTCTTGGATAATTTTCCCTTATTAGCAAAAATAGGCATATATCATCATTTCAATTGCTACATAGCATTGTTTAATATGAACATAGTTCATTTAACCATTTCTTAAGTCGTTTTCACATTTTTTTTCACTACTTGAAACAGTGGGACATCTCACATCTGTTTCTCAGACTGGGGGCATTCCACTGAGCTGGGTAAAGTTGGGATTGCTAGATGAAAGAGTGGAGAGAAGTAAATTAAATATGACTGAAATCATAGTTCCCACGTTCCTTCTTCCAGTGCCCTTTAGCTCAGAAGATGAGGCTAAGCCCGCAACTTCCTGCCTGGGCAGGAGGATGGTGGGCAGCTCAAAACGGTGACCACTGAATGTATGAGAAGCCGGTCAGGGCCGTAGTCCTTTTTCTTTGGAAGTGAGCCTGGGAGGCAGGCCACAGTAGTAGTTTCAAGACCTCTATGAAGTGAATGGAACGATGTGTCAAACTGTTTCCGAGTGTGGTTCATGGATCCATCCAGAGCCATGTCTCCCAGGCCATCCCCAGTGACGGGATTTAGTCTGCCATGTAGCCAATAAAACAGTGCTGGGGTCTCGTTGGGATGGGTCCTTTGCCAAGATAAATGTGTATGCATTTTGAATGTTAATGAAACGTGGCCAAAAAAAAGTGTCCTGATTAAAGACCGCACCAATTGACACTCCTATCAGCACTCCGCAGAACCCTATTGACCCTCCTTCTCCCCAGTCTGGCGCAGGGTTAAACGTTTTGCCAATATGATGGGCACCGAAAGATACCTCATGCTAATTATGGCTTTCCTGATTGCTAATGAGATGGATTGGAGATTTTTTTTTTCTTGTTTATTAGCTACTTGTGTTTCTTTAAATTGTCTGTTTTAATTTCCCTGTTGAATTACTTGGTTTTTCCAATTAATTAGTGAGAACTCATTATATGCATTACCCACCCACCCCACCCTCCTCCCCGGTCGTCCACTAATCCTGTAAATTCATCTCTGGTGTTTTCGTCTCAGTGAAACTTTTGTTTGAAGTGGGTTTCTCTGTCAGTATTTTCAACTCTAGAGTTTTTTTTTAGGTCTTCCCATCTCCAAAGTATAAACTAATTATCCTGTGTTGTTTTCTGTACTTTTATTCTATTACATTTATTTAGCTCTTTAATTTGATTGGAAATGGGTTTGTATCCGGTAGAAATCTAACTCTTAAAAATTCATCGATTCACCCAGTCATCTGAAATGCAACATGAGTCATAGGAGCAGTTCCCATATAAATGCTTGTTTCTAGGTCATTTGTCCTGTTTCATTGATTATTTAATTCCTGCACAATGCTATATTGTTATACTTGAATATCAGTTCTGACAAGCCATTTCACCCACTGTTCTTTTCTTTCATTACATCTGCTATATTTTTTTTAAAAAATTTGTGCATGCATTTTAGGAACATTTTGTCACATTCCATAACAAATTTTGTTGGAAATTGTATTGCGTTGTGAAATGTTTATAGTTTCACCTATCATCTCATCCCTCACATGGATCATAAGAATTGTTTTAGGTCATCTTATAAAGGTTTTTTTATATTTCATCATTTATATAATATTTAATGTAGGCATAGATGTATTCCATGGTATTTCTAGCTTTCTTTGAGATTTGATGAATATACATGTTACATTTTATAAAATTCCTTTCCTTCATATACAGAGATGATGTTAACCCATTAATAATGCAATTAGATTTGCTAATATTAAACTTTTTGTAGTAAACCATCCGTGGTCATTATGTTATTTTAATGGGCATCTGGTATATTTGATTTGCTGCTATTTAGGAAATTTAAAATCCTATGTGATTTTTATGCCCTTTTCTGTTTTTTTTGTTTGTTTGTTTGTTTGTTTTTTTCACTATTCTTGCTCAATTTTAGTTTGAGTTTCATGCTGTCCTCAAATAAAGAATTAAGAAGACCTACATTTTTTGTCTGCTCTGAAATCGTTTATATAAAATAGATTACCTAATAATAAAAATGTGTTAGAATTCTATAATTTTACTATGTGGGGATATGTTTTTCCCTAGTTGGAATTAGTGTAAAAGCCATTGTGGACTTTTTGTTGTTGTTTTTTGTTTGTTTTTTCAACTTTCACATTTAAAAAAAATAATTGTCTCTTTGATCTAGTTTTTTTTTAAAATGTGTGCATAGAACTTAGTATTCGGTATGTTAAAAATCTGTGTCATACCTTAAGTTCCTTTTCTCCTTGTCTTTTACTTGTTTTCCCCTTTAGCTGAGTAGTTTAAAGTGTCTATTTATTGTTCTATTAAAACAACTAGCTTTGTGATTTATTGATCTAGCACAGTGATTTTTGACTGGTGAGCTGCAAGGTTGTTTAAAACATGCAATCCCTGACTAATCGTCAGGAGCCCTGACCTCTTTTTCCTTAGATTGCCAGATAAAAAATTGTCAACAGCAATGACAATAGCCATCCAGTGTGAATGAATCAAAATCACGCCTTTTTTTTTGTCAGGTGGGGTAAAAAGTATATTTTTGGATGTGCTGCAGAATTTCAGTAAAATTTTAGTTTATTTTTATTATTTTTTAAAAATACACTTTATACTGTGAGGTGGGAAAGGTTGAAAATTGCTGCGTTAGCATATTTATTTGCCTGAGAATACATTTTTCTAAACCTGTGGCTCTTGTTTTTAAAATATCTAGTGTTTTATTTATTTTTGATAGACTAGTGTCTGTGTGAGGTTTACGAACATTTCCCAGTAGCTGGTGGATTTGTGGACTTGCAGGTGGTGCTGACGGTAGGCACAACTCAAAGTCTGAGAATATGTTTACTCGTTACGAACGTTTTAACAGAATGTAAGTCCACATAAGAATTATGATATGGCCTGACTGGCATGGCTCAGTCCTTGAGCCCTGACCTATGAGCCAGGAGGCCATGGTTCGATTCCCAGTCAGGGCTCACTGCCTAGTGTGGGGCCTGCAGGAGGCAGCCAATCAATGATTCTCTCTCTTCCTCTCCCTCTCTGAAATCAACTTAAAAAAAAAAAATTATGGTACTGAATATTTTAAGTTTCTACTCTTAGAGGGGGGGGGGGTGTGGAACAGATATATCTTGGAACAGGCAGAGGCATGATGGTGGACAGATATTCGGGGCTATTTTATCACTCTAGCATGTATTTAACATAGTGGATTCATTTATTCAGTTTTCAAGTTTGAACATATTGAAAATTTTTAAAAGAACTTATATGTTTAGGAGGGATGCAGGGTGAATATACCCAGTGATGGTGGACAGCTTCTACGATAATTCATTTCTCGATCTTTCTCTGCCACTAGCATACTTTGAATAAGTAACCTCGAGTTTAAGAATGCCAACCTTTAGCTTGTAGGTTAACACATAAACACTTACCAGTAACTGTTTATTTATCAGTTTCTATTTTGTGGGAAAGATTGTTTGCATTGTAGAATTTTAGAGTTTGCTGGGTTTTACTCTCATAGGGTTTTTGATTGTATATGGGTAAGACATTGATTGTATTAACATTTGGGATCAGAACAGAACTAGCACTGGACTGGATGAGAATATTTCTGATTTAGTTTATTTTAATGGTTTCTAGATTTGGGAGTACTTGAGACTGTATTTTAATAATGTTTTTCTTGTTTCATTAGATATTTTTTTATCTTCCTGTTGTAACTGCAGCTTGACCTTTTAAGTATCAATAAGACACCAGCAACCACAGATGGAAAGGAAACTCCTCCTTAGCCCCAGGCCTTTTCCACCTTCTCTTAGCTCTTCCCGCTGCTCTAGGGCCTCTGAGCTCAGGAATAATCCAAACTAAACCCAGGCCTTATCTCCCAGGCTTCCAGGCACACTCTCAACTGAAGTGGCGAAAGCCTGGTGATATCTATACTAATAAAAGAGTAATATGCTAATTAGATCAGGAGACCTGGGAGATCTTCCCTACAAAGCCATAGTGGCGGGGCTGAGGCAGAGGCAATTAGAGGTGATTGGATCCACAGAGTAGGGCCGTTGGAGGCGATCAGGCCAGCAAGGAGGGTGTGGCGGGGGAGGGGGGGGGCAGTTGGGAGTGAGCAGGTGGGCAGGTGTGGGTGATCAGGCTGAGAGGGGTGCAGTTGGGGGCAAGCAGGCTGGTGGGTGGGTTGGGCATTTGGGGGTGATCAGGCCAGCATGCAGAATGGTTAGGGGCAATCAGGCAGGCAGGCAGGGGAGCGGTTAGGAACCAGCAGTCCCAGAGTGTAAGAAGGATGTCTGATTGCCAATTTAGGCCTGATTCCTGAGGGACTGGGCGTAAACCATCAGTTGGATATACCCTGAGGGTTCCCAGATTGGAGAGGGTACAGGATGGGCTAAGGACACCGAATCCTGTGCACTGGGCCACTAGTAGACTGTATTGAACTCCAACTGTCTCTGGGTTCAAGTAACCCTCCTTCCACCCCACACTCCACACATACACACACACATTCAACATGGATAGGTTTTAATAATACTGAGTTTTCTATGCATAGACCGTGTTCTCAGTTGGCGTATTAGCTCATTTAATCTGTACAGTGAAGTACCTACCCTATTTCACCACTTCTCCTCCCTTCTAATAGACAGCATTTTCCCACAATTCCACAGCTGTAAGGTCGAGAAGCATCACACAGCTCCTGAGTGAGTGCCGGGCGGCGTGGTGCTGGGGTTGTGTGGAAACCACCTGGGCGCTTTTGGGTAACAAGGACAGCCTAACCTCAGAGTGCCTCTGAGTCGGGAGGTGTGCAGGAAGGCATAGCCGTCCCCTCGCTGGAGGGGACTCGAACCTGCCTCAGCCTCGCGGGGCCCTTGTCTGTAGAGCAGGGCCGGGGCCCAGGGCCGTGTGAGGACATGCCGGGCCTGCGGCACAGTAAGCACCTGGACGTGCGCTATTGTGAGTGCCACGCAGCCATCCTTCTGTGCCGCCCCATCCTCGGACACAGGCTTCTCGGGGCGCGGTGCGGGGCAGGGTGCAGGACCATACCCACAGCATCTGTCGCCATAAAGCAAGTCACAGCCTTTTGCTGGTTGAAGTTTTGCTTTCAATTTGTGTAAAAAGAAAAAAAAAAGAAAGAGTAACCCATATGGACCATAAGTGATAAAGTGAAGAGCAACAAGATGAGGGGTCCCTGTAATTGAGAAAAGAAACACATTGTTTTCACTCTGGACTTTTTAGAAAAATATTTAATATTTTTATTGACTTCAGAGAGGGAGGGAGATGGAGAGACACCCATGGGCTGCCTGCTGCACGCCCCCCAGTGCGGATGGAGCTGCAGCCCGGGCCTGCGCCCTTGACTGGAATCGAACCCGGGACCCTTCAGTCCGCAGGCCAGCGCTCTATCCACAGGCAAACCGGCTCGGGCTGAAACAGCTTTTTCACGTTAAGGCCCACTACGTGCCCTTACCTTTTCAAAAATGATTGATTGACCAGGTCTTGTCGAACGTGCACAGGAGTTTACAATCCTGGAATCCCTGTTCTTTTGGCCCTTCCCATGTGGACGCCTGGCTTGATGGGAGCCTTGATCTCTGTGAGTGGAAGAGAATCTCAGTGTTCATTTTCTGCACTCTGTGTTTTAAACTCTGGCCATGACTACAAGCAGGAGTAAGTGTGTTTTACATGCTGGACTGAGCCCTAATTGCCCGGCTTGCTTAAGTGACCTATCGCGAGATCCCAGGCCCCGATGGCCAGGATGCCCGGCTCCGGTCACCTCTGCAGGAGCCTTTGCGCGCACCCAGGGAGGCCAGACTACAGACATGCTAACCCAGGATGAAACCGCCCGGGAATGCTGGATCCGGGGAGATCACACTTTATCGCCATGGAGATGTTCCCCGTGGACGTGGGCGTGGAACGATGCAGACTCCATAACTCAGCCCTGTGAGCGGAGTCATCCGTTTTCGCTCGGCTCACCTAATTCTAAACCCACTTTCCTGCACTTCCCTTCTTAATGGCCCATCCCTCTTAGAGCTTGGCCTGCTCGGAGTCTTTCCAAAGCGAGGTCGTCATGGAACATTAAACTTTAATAGCAGGATGTGCAGGGCGGAGGGGCCGATCTATCACATTGCTTTTTGTTAATTATGATTATGTACATTTTTTACAAGAACCTGACGCCACCGTCACCCAGTTTATGCAATCACTGGGCACAACGGAAGAACGCTAACTGAGTCCACGGACATGAGGAGATCTTAGACCCTGCAGGGCTGTCCGGATGTGAGGTGTCATATATTCAATTGATAAGTTGGAGAGCTGAGTGGCTCATCTGTCATCAAACAGGTACCAGTTAGACTGACGCGGGCAGTCCCTCCCCTCCTGGTACCCTGCTCGGACTCAGCTGTCCGGAACTAATCGGTGCCCAGCGCAGAGACACAGGATGGAGACTGAGCTTTCACGTGTCCTTTGCTTGTTGCTTGGTGACTTTTATTTTCTCAAACAATGTGTTGTACCTGTGACTTCTTCATGTGGAGGCAAATGGTTACAGGCTCAATCCCCACTAGGAGGTGTGCAGGAGGCAGTGGATCAACGAATAATTCTCTCTCATCTTTGATGTTTCTATCTCGCTCTCTCTGAAATCAATTTAATTTTTTTAAAATATTTTTTTAAATTATGTAACTAAACAATGTCTCATCCTTGGACAGGTACTGACTTCTATTGTCCCTACGTGCTGACTCTTCGCTTGTCAAACCACAATTCAAACATGACTGCCCTCGTTCTCGGGGAAGAAATGCAATATGGGACTAAGTCCTGGCCCTCTTAGTCTCCAGGAGTCGGTGGGAGCAGCCCCGGCTGCATTGTCCAGGGTGGGGGTCCGGCCCCGCCTTGTCTGCAGGGGCGAGAGTGGGCCCCAGAGCGACCTTGGGCCTGGGGAGTTTGTTTCCAGCGCCTGCGTTCTAAGCGCGGGTGTGTCCCTCTTTTGAAACAAAGTGACCTGGGCCCAGAGCAGGTGGCACATGGCCACCAGAGTCTGCCTGCCTGACGTGAAGGGCATTTACCGTCTGGGCTCCGAGGGGCCAAACAGCTGCATCTAATGGTGGGGATTGTTAAAGAGGCCACTGAGGTGGGGGCACTGACTTAGGGCCTGCAGGAAGCCAGAAGGAACCTGTCAGAACCCCAAGTCGCCCTTTCCTGTGCCCTGTTAACCTGTTAACCGGGGAGTTCCCTTTTTAATGATGCAACGTACAACGGGTGCGTACTCTTCACTAGGACGTGTCAGTACGTCACACCCAGCGGACGTATTTTTATATTATTATTTTTTTTATTTATACTTAATTAAAATAAATGAAATATATATTTTTCCGTTTATTTATATATAAAGCACAAAGGAAAATACAAAATTACAAACAAATAGAAAAGAATACCAACAAAAAAATGGAAACATCGAATTAAAAAATTATAAATTTTACAAACAATTATAAAGATTACAGCCGAAGCCAGTTTGGCTCAGCGGTAGAGCGTCGGTCTGCGGACTGAAAGGTCCCAGGTTCGATTCCGGCCAAGGGCATGTACGTTGGTTGCGGGCACATCCCCGGTAGGGGGTGTGCAAGAGGCAGCTGGTCAGTGTTTCTCTCTCATTGATGTTTCTAGCTCTCTATCTCTCTCCCTTCCTCTCTGTAAGAAAATCAATAAAATATATTTAAAAAAAAAAGATTACAAAAAATATATACCGTCCCTCTCAGGGCGCAACAGATATTTCAAGGACGTATTCATATGTCCTGCCCGTTCCTGATAGTGTTTATGTTTGACGTATTTATAGGTCCCGCTCGGTTAACAGGTTAAGGTTGACTGAGGCCTTCAGAGGCTAACCCAAAGGGTAAATGAAGCACGTCTCCACAAAGCCCAGAGAAGAGAGGGCAAAACTCCTCTCTGGATCCTGTCTGGAGTGACAGCTGAAAACAAACAAACAAACAAACAAGTCCTGGGGATCCTGAGGACCGGAGGGGCTGTCATCTGAGGGAGGAGGCTGAAGTCCCTCATTGGTCCCGGGGTGGACAAGAGCATGGCTACTCAGGTGAGCGTTAAACACAACTAGTCCCCACACCCAACACCAGGGCATCAAAGAGAAGCAGGGCTTCTTTTAATAAGGAAACCAGCCAGGGAGTGGTAAAGGGTGGTGGAGCCCGGGCCAGTGTTTTCCAGACTTACTTCACATTAGAATCCCTGGGGCCTTTACAAGCACTGATGCCTGTGTGGCTGGCGTGGCTCAGTGGCTGAGCATTGACCTGTGAACCAGGAGGTCCCAGTTCGATTCCTGGTCGGCACATGCCTGGGTTGTGGGCTCCATCCCCATGGAGGGCATGAGGAGGCAGCCGATTAATGTTTCTCTCTCATTATTGATGTCTCTCTCTCTCTCCCTCTCCCTTCCTCTCTGAAACCAATAAAAAATAAAATAAAATAAAAAAATACTGATGCCTGCCTCCCACCCAGAATCCCCAAGCCCACAGTCTGAGCAATGAAGCCGGGAGGTAGAAAAAGAGCAGCCAGGGTTTGCCTAAAGGCACGGTTGGGATCCTGTGTGATGGAGGACGGAGGGAATTATAGGGAGGGACCCTGAGAACATGGCCCAGGCTGGGTTCCCGTGGAGGCAGATTCCCAGATGCATGGCACGCGGAACACACGTGGGGCGGGATGTTGTCGCCCGCACTCAGGGAGGGAGGGTGAAAGGAGCCGGATAGGCTGACGGAGAAGACGGGCTGCCCTGTCCTTTCAGCTTAGAGCTCAGAGGGCCGGCCGGCGGCTCTAAGCCCCGGGGACCTTCCTGCTCATGTCACTCTGAAGCGAGGGGGCGCGTCCAAACAGCCCTGTAGCCCAGTCCTCGGGCACATGCCACCCAGAAAGGATTTGCTCTCTGGTGAGCCGCCCCGCTGCCTGGAGGCAATGTGAAGGGGGCAGTCAGGGGGCTGTCTGCCAACGGGTCCCTCAAACCTGGGGAAGCACACCCTTCAGTTCTCAAGAGGGTTCCGAGAGGCACACCGTAGCTAGTGCTCATGAATTATTGATTTTTAATTTTGGAAACAACATTTTATTAAGAGTTACAGGGCACACACAATTAAATGCCCCGGTATAAGGATGCCTCTTACAGGAAGATCTTTGCTCAGGAAGACAGCTTCTCGTTATTGAGACTGAGCACAACAGCTAGGGTGGATAGAGAGGCGAGAATGAAAGGCACAGAAACAGGTGTGGCATGGGAGGGCGGGGCCAAAGGAGTACAGAGGCAAGGAAGAGAAAAAATACCTGATTACATAGCTTTGCGGAAAAGGTTAATAGCAGAGACATTTGATATTCAATTGCAATTTATTTGCACTGTTGTCCTATAAGCCATGCCCTCCATTTCCTCCATGAGAAACATATAGGAGTGTCTGGAGATTTTGCTTTGCTTTTTTGTCACGCTCTGTGTTTCTGATGTTTTGTGGAAATAATAAAGATTACACAGGAATGTTGGTGCAAAGGGGAATGGCAGGTTGAAACGTAAGTAACGGAGATCTTAAGGTCACGCAGACCCTGGAGGTATATAAAAGTGCAGTTCTTTCTGTTACCGCCCGTGGCCAGCTCACAGCGGGAGGGCCTGCGTGCTTGCTCCAGCACCTGGAGGAAGACGGAGGGAAACTCAGTGGGTCCTGATGTAAAACCCAGTGAGCAGGAGAGGAAGCCCAGGAAATAAAGGGTTTGAGAAATTCCAGATAGGCCGAGGCTGTTTTGTTACTTTAAGTCAATAACAGCTTCCTAGCTCAAGCATTTTCCTAGGCCAGACGGAATAAAAAGATAGAGGAGATATAACATATGCGAGCACGAGTGAGGGGTAGTGTGTTCTGCTTACCATAGAAGGAGTTGGTAGGTAGACTGATCCATGGAAGCAGGGATGCCGGGTAGTTTAGTGAAAGGAGAAGGGTTTGGGGACTGGAAGCCCTGCATTCGTTTCCCAGAATTCATTGCCAGTTACGAATGCCATGCCCACGTATGAACCACACTATGTCAGCATTGGCACCGTCCTCTGTGCCCTGGGCACACTAATGAGTATCATGGATTTAATATAAAAGACTACTATGAGAGAAAAAAAGGAAAGGTGTATGAGAGATTTTTTGTGCCATGTAAATGTATATAAATATTAATTTTGCTCTTTCAACCTTGGCTGGTGATTATCACAGCAGTTGCTCATTTTGAATGAGCCTGTGAACTGAGTCTATAACTTCAGCTCAGCTTTCCATGGTCCAGGAAAGGTGAAATTAAAACCATAAAACTAACAGTACCTGCCCTTCCCTGGGTGATCTCTTTTCTGCCAATATAGTTAGGTTTCTAGTACAGCAGGATAGTGTAGTCATTCAGATAAATCAAAGAGTTCAGATTCTAGGGAAAGCTCCTTGAAAGGGTTATGTGAAATTTAATACTGTAAATAGGAATTTAAAATAAAAACATTGTTTTTTAATGCTTAAGAGATAAATCTTGTGGTGTAAGAAACTTTCACAGAAGTTATGTGTCAATTATATCTCAACTAGAGGCCCTGTGCATGAATTCATGCACTGGTGGGGGGGGGGTGTGAATCAGCCCAGTGTGGGAGCACACTGATCACCAGGGGCAGCTTCTGTGTTGATCATCTGCCCCCTGGTGGTCAGTGCACATCATAGCGACTGGCCGACTGGTCATTCTGGTTGTTCCACCTTTCAGTTGCTGGGCTTTTATTATATAGGATAAATATGGAAATTAAGTCAATTGCATTAGAACAAAATAAAACGGTTCTCATACAGTCCTGTGGTCAGTAGGCAAAGAATGCACATCTATGTGACTATTTTAAGGTTAATAAATGGCTCAGCACTCAATGAGATTATGTCTGACCTAATAACTGCATTATGAACATTGTGGTGTGGCCCTTTAAGGGAGAGGCTGGGTTAGAAAACAACTGATCTGGGTGGTAAGAAAGCGATCCCACGCTAACACTGCAAAGGGCCCTGAGAGAAAATCCCCAACAGCATCACACTGACAGCAGACCCCTGCTGGCAGGAGGGAAATCTATTCCTTCCAGGTGCAGTAATGGAAGCTTCCCTTGCTTGGAAGGAAATTGTACACGGAAGCACAAATGGCACTGGATTGCGCTGAGCCCTGGCAGGGGCGATGGAGGCACTGGCCACAGCCCGCTGGCTGGCCTAATGGACGGAGACCAGGACAGAGGCAGAAAGCAGACCTGACGTGCAGGCAGGCAGACCGGGAGAGAAACAGGCCTGACATGGTGCGTGTGCTTGTGTTTCAGCGGGCCTGATGGATGTGGCATTGGGCATTGTTACAGAACTCACCAGGCCACCGAAAACACACAGGAGCTCTCAGAGACACAGGAGAAATCCATTCATTTCCAGATGCACTAGGACCATGACTCAGGGGAGCCTGTTTGTCTCCAAATCCTGAGAAAGCCGGTGCGGAGGAAGCTCTCTCTTTGTCCCCTTTGGCTTCTTTGTCCCCCAGATATGGATGGGACTTTCGGACCTTTCACTGGTTTTGCAGAAAGCCCCGTGTGTTGGGATGGGGCCCGTGAGACCACACCTAGAGGCCTGGCCTGGTGCCAGCACTCATAACCCCTCCTCCTGGGGTTGAGTATGGTTCATGGTTTATGGCCTCTATAACACGGGAGCATTTAGGTAACAGGTCTTGCAAGACCAGATTGTGTTGAAAGAGTCAGTGACCTAATTATAGTCCAACAAGCATGCACATTAGGCTGCTGGCACAGATTCACATTGCTACCCCCAAAAAAATGTTATATTTCCCGTTATATAACATGGTTTGTCTAAGCACATGTGTCAAACACAAGGCCCGCGGGCCAAATCCGTCCCGCCAGGCCTTGCAATGTGGCCCGCACCGCGCTGTCATCATTGCACTCCGCTGCGTTTCCATCACAATGACAGTTTATGACTGTTCAGTAAACCATTCGGGCCACGATTTAGGCTGGATTTTAGATTTTGGCCCCTTCTCTGATTGAGTTCGACACCCCTAGGAATCACAATCTTTTAGGCATATCTTATCTTTCCTCATGTTTATTGACATGAAAAGGGCCAAGGCCAGTCCTTGTCCCAGGCTTTCCTAGTTGTGTGAGGAACAGTCTGCGTGTAGAAGCTGACAATACCCTCTTTCTCTTTAACGTACTTGATCTCGGTGAGACTCTCCCACGGATGCAAAACAGGTGGAGCTCTCCAATCAAAGCTCCCTGCAACTATGGACACGTGTGGATTCAGGGTGGCCCTGACGAGAACAGTTCTGGTAGATTCTTACCGGAGGTTGAGAGGCTTAGGTGAGAATACCAGCACATTCCTAGTAAAACGTGCCCTGGTTCACGTGCCACATTGTGTGAATCCAGACTCTTCCAGCTCACTTTGGAGCCGCCACTCAGCTTCAAAACCTGATGACCCCAAGATGGATTAGAATTCCCAAAGCAAAAGGCACTACGCTGGACTCCCAGACAGACCTTTGCTTCTAAGGAATGAATATTTCTCTCTCCCCCTCTTTTTCTCCAACTTAGGAACTGAAGTTAAGAAAATTCAGTAAGATGAATAGTTATTATATCAAAATTATAATGTTCAGGAAATGCTATAGATTTCAGAAATATATATATTGAATATAAAACGATATATTTGGGTCAAAGTAATGATGAAATAATTATTAATTCACAATGATTTGCATGTGTTTTAGATTAAAAATTAAAGGTTAGAGGATCTATATTCACAAAGGCCAGAGTATATGAATCTGCTGGATTTTCTCCTGACAAAAACATCTTTTTGATTAAATATAAATATTCCCTTTATATAAAATTGATATTAGATCAGAAGAAAATGCATTTTTTTCATAAGAAGTTTCTTTTAAAAAAATATATTTTATTGATTTTTTACAGAGAGGAAGGGAGAGGGATAGAGA